GCGGACCGCGTGCAGTAATGGAGAAATCAGGCGCGTAGCCGGGGCCTGATTTCTCCCTCCTTCATTGACAAAAACATCCCCCTTCATCCGAAGGAGGGTGTTTTACCGATGGCAAGTAATAAAATAGGTATGTTTTAAGGTTTTCAACAAGTGCTCCGCTTCACCCTTCCGAAAAAAAATTTCTGGCTACGAGCCTGGGAGAAAAGTCTTTAATTTATGATGTGTCGTTTTAAATCCGAAGCATTTCTTACCGAACTTTGGCGACTTTGACCGTATATACCTATCTGTATATCGATCTAGCCGCCTACGACATTTAGCTGTCCTGGCCGTTGCGATAATGGTGTCTATACCGAAATTGGCATGGCAAGACTGTATGTCGAGCATAAATGACTGACGTTAACATGGAAATGATGACATGTATGTCATGATTGCTATTTCATGGTATTGCTGCTCTTGCGGTGGTTTCATTCAGATGGCATGTTGCAAGACCGGTATGTTATGAAATGACTACATGGTGAACATAAGTGACAGACCCTAACATGGAAATCATGACATGCATGCCATGTAAGCCATGACTACACGTCATGGTGCGCTCGCAGTCGTTTCGCTAGCTTCACATATACCAAATTTGGTATTACGGGACGTGAATGCACGACGAAGGTATTTGATTGGTGCAAACACGATAATCACGGCATGCGTGTCATGTAAGAACATGTCATAGCGCGCTCGCGGCCGTTTCGCTAGCTTCAAATGTACAAAATTTGGTATTAGGTGACGTGAATGGACGACGAACACAAATGCCAGGCGCAAACATGATAATCGTGTCATGGAAGTCACGTACGGCATAGTTTACGTCAGCCGCGTAACGTTGTGCTGATTTTAAAGTGACTTATCAACCTATTCATTCGTATTTCGCATATCATCGATTCCCACGTGGGATCTGCCCTTCTTTTTTTCTTTTTGTTCGTCGGATTGTCACCGTGCCCGACGTTTTCACAGAAGTATGCGCTGTATGTTGAGCGTCTATGTTTGCAGTGAAAAACCTAATCTTTTGCGGCGTGATAAACGAGGCACCCAGTTTCGCGCGCAGATATGGTGAGTGCACGAAGTTCTTTGGTTTTTGATACACGTTTTTGTTTCCCGAGTTCTGTACATTTATTGGAGCTCTGGCAAACACTTAACCTCAATTAGAAGGGGGCGCTGCTGAAATCATTGCCCTGGAGTTACTGTATATGCTATCTCTACCTAAAGGTAGCATCACTCTACATCGCCCTGGTGTCTCGCCTGCCTAAATTTAAGGTACTCGATCCAGCGGTCGGCGTTACGCCTTTGAGCGCTGCTGACCTCTCACATAACAAAGGCTGGATGGAGCATGAGTGTGACGTGACCACTGCTCAACGGGCCCGATTGGAAGAAAATTTCGCGTTTCGCGAGCGAAGCTGTGGCGCGGCATACGCGCTGAAAGTCATCAAGATCCCGACTTCGTGCCACAGTTTTTGGGTGCTCGCACGGAGGATTGTTCGAAGGAAATGGCTCGATTTCGCGCCATCACGGAAAAAAGAGATAGATAGCTATAGTCGTCGCTTGCCGTGCGTGGCTCTTTTCACATGCGTGCCTACCGTGTCATGCCATGGCCGCTGGATGAAAGAGTCAGCCAGCGGCCGTGGTCATGCGAAGGATGAAAAAGGAAAACGAAATAGTGCGATTGCAAGTTCGGGTGTTGCGCGCACCTCAACCTCGGGCCGTCGTCCTCGTCAGCAGAGCGGGTCACCGATCCTGGAATGGGTCAATCGATGCCTGTGGGGTCCCCTCGCGCAGATGGCCGACATTCGGACACGCCGTGGCTAGATGCGCATGCATGCACGTGCCCACAGGCGAGAGGGCGTGACGTCTGGCCAGATTGCCCCGCCGCCGCGATCCGAAACGTCCCTAAAGACTCGGGAAAACAAGGGGGTGAGACGAAAAAAAAAAAAGCAAGGTAACCGACAGCTCTCGGAGTTATTCATTGTTGCAGGGTGCAGCACTACGAAAGGGTTTGTGAGCAGATTGCCCCTCCGCCCGCGGCCTAATGGTGGAGGGCAGGGCGAGCCTATATACATATCAACACGAAGAGGGAAAGAAAGTAGTAGTTTGACTTTTACCTTGCAGTGTCATTACACTGTGTCGAAGCGTGCGGCCGATGAAGAAGAGTGCACAAACGGCGTTCATTATACTTTCTCGGTTGTTTGTTAGTTTTATTGTTCCGCGCCTGAAATGGTCTGGTCCGTGCGAATCGTAGCGCTTTCGCAAATTATAGCACTTTCGACAGAGGATTGCCCTTTCCAACTTGGATATGCGTCCGGGGTCATTCGAAGTCGTGACCCGCACTCCGGATATGGAGCATGAGTAGTAAGAAGTGTACTGTTTGATATGTCTGAATTCTTTCAAAGAGGTCACGTGCATGCTCACAGACACTTGTCCCGCCATATTCCGCCCACGCGCTTGCATATATTCTTCAATTCGAGAGTATTGCCGGGCGACCACTTTCGCCGTTACCTTCACGAAATAGCGCCTGACGTGTCGGCGTCTGTAAAGACGGTTTTCCCCAGCGGTGAACGGCCGCTGCCACGTTTAAACACGTGATCTAATGGCCTTATCCTTTCCACCTTCACCGTCGCCGACGGCCGGCCGATTCACCGCCGCCGCCACTCCCGGGTTGAAAGCCAGCAAAGCGGGCAGCTTCTTGCGTCGCCTGTTTCTCGCCACACGCCACATCGCGGCTGCGCTGCCGAACAAAAGGCCGTGGTTCTTTGGTGCGGTGGCGCCATCTAGTTTTGCTTAAAGAAACTAGTTGCGGAAAATCGTCAATACAGCTCACACACACACAAAAAAAAGTTTCTGTCACTGTGCTTCAGCGCAGTTGGCACAGTGCCAGACATCAGCGAACCGTAAACGCCGGATGCGCTCGGCGCTTCCCTCGTGATGGCTCGCGAAAGTGAAAGTATCGCCGAATGTGATGTATCGAGGTACCGCCATGTGCCACCATTGCCGGTTGGCCCCTGCGCATGCTTCTCTGCTCACCTGGTGCGTCCCGCGTGCAAGCTGTTATCGCGCTTGAACTTCAACGGAACATCTCGGCGACGGCGAATTTTCTCCTCGAGCGACCCCACAATTCTGTCCATAATAAAGTAATGGGGGAAATTCTCTGTGCTAATGTATTTTCAGTTATCTTGTGCACCTTTATTTGGTGTCTGCCATAGCCCGCATGCATATATATGTCACTGCACAAAAACCTTAAATATGAACATAAAGTTTAAGCCTACATCAAAGATCTTCTGGTAGTCACATTTGATTTCTGGCTTTGATGCATGAAATCCCAAGCTTAATTTTTTTATCAAGATGTGTCTGTAAATTTTAATGGTAAGCTTTGTTAATAAAGTAAAAAAAATTTCTGGTATTTGATGGCATTCTTGTTGCGTGAAACTGGACTTAAAACTGAAGCCAAAACAACAGCTGCTTTGTGTTCCAAGCCAACACGAGCCAAGCTGGTGGCTTTTCCAACACAGCTTCCTGTGCTGTACTTTCTGTCATTATCATAACAATTCAAGCACTTTGCTACTATTCCACCTAGTCACACAGACAATTGTCACTTTCTTTCGCTATGTACCTTTGTATATCCAACCTTGAGGCAATCCAACTGACTTATACCATTATCGTTATGTCAGGATGCCAACAAGACATCCGACTGCATGTGGACGCATTGTCACAATCGTTTCCACTACAGTGCACCATACATTTTTCTACACAGGAAAAGCACAACCGAAGGTTCTAGTACTTGCTGTTGCTCTCTCATAAGCTGTGCACACTGTTGCTTATTTAGTATTTTCTTCCTTTTATAATTATTGGATGCGAAGAAGCTCTGACTAGCCTGCGTAACGTTGCCCTCCGTCCGTACCGCGCTTTCCTGGCTGCAGATGTTGGGGCGGTGCCAAGTAGGGTCACGCCTTCCCTTGCCTGTCGCCGCTCACCGCATGTCATCTCTTTCACTTCAATCTCTCGACCACTTGCAAAGTTCGAGCGCATATCGAAAGAACAGTCTTTCTGCGATGAAACTTACTTGAAACCCAACCCGCCTCCCAAGTCTTTGCGTTTCAAACAAATGTTCACTCGAATAAATGCTAAATCGAGTTTCGCTTTACACCGTTCTTCCAGCACCCTCGTCCATCCCCGTTTAAACCGGGTCAATGCCGTGCGCATTGCTGCTGCTTTGCATTCCATCAGGGTTTCCTTCGGGGAGATGTTCTTGCTTTTTTTTTTGGATCATTACAGCACTTCAAGAGTATTACTGATCACCTCATCAATATAACAAGGCTCTGCGAAACGGGAGGGAGCACAGAAAAGCTGCTTACTTCACAATAGTGTATTACAGTTGTGTAGCCACCTGCCACAGTAGCCTACTCGTTATGGTGATCAACTGCTGGCTCGAAGGTCACTGGATCAAACCCTAGCTGTCGTAGCCACATTTTCCACGGAGGCAAAAGGGCTTGAGGCCCATGTACGATCAGCGTCAAATGCAACCCGAACAGCGGCTAGCCTTTGTGATAGTGTAGTGTGTGCCGTCCAGTTATCACCACTGACAGGCGTGGGCATCCTGTTCGGCAGCTTTGCGCATATATGCGTGCCTGTGCTTAGTGATAAGTGGACAGCCCACACTATACTATCGTGAAGGCTTGCCACTGTTCGGGTTTCATTTGATGCTGATAGTACTTCGATCTAGGAGCATGTCAAAAAGCCCCAGGTGGTCGAAATTTCTAGAGCCCTTCATTACAGCGTCACTCGTAATCATGTTGTGGTTTTGAGATGTTAGGCCCTAACAATTTTTATTAATACACTTGGGTTGCAATGTGTTGTAAGCTGCATCCTTGTAGGTTTTTCACTGGTCGTGGTTGCGGTGAGAAAGCAGCATGGATGCTTTCATTTATTTATGCATGTGTCGTCTCTCTTTCTTTTTTGTTTTCCAGCAAGCCGTCATTCCCCGTGCCATCCGTACCACAGTGCCAACCATACCTGCCAATGTGCGCCTGCACTGCCTGCCATTGTTTGTTCGCCAGTGTATCAAGACATACACTGCTGACTGGCACAAGGTCGTGTACAAGTCGAGTGTCTATTCCGGAACGTACAAAGAGCTACTCAGGTTGGTCGAAATAATTTCACACTTCTTATCACAGTAAGTTGGCTGAAGTAAGCAGAGCCCGAGATGAGACAAGTTGTTGTAGTAGCTTTATTATTGTGGTGCACTAGAGTAGGCATTGTTACATGGCAGTCAAGTTCATGGAAAAAACAGGAAACGCTTTACAAGTGAATCGCGCTCCACTCAACTTTGTGTCTAAGAGTGCTTGCCATAGTGCTACATTATGATGACGTGGAAAGTTGTACTTGTGGGTAGTCAACATAGGTAATTAGAACCAGAACCAAAGAGCTGTGAGGGAAGGAGATGATTGAAAAAACAACGGGCAATTTCGTTGGACGTAAGGAATGCTAAATATAAAATGTTTCTTTTTTTTTGCTGAAATCAGATGTAATGGATGTGTCTCTATGAGGTTGTGTGTGCAAGATGAAGCATTTTTGTAACAATGGTACACTGTGAAATACAGCAAATTTTCTTTTCTTGTGTTTCTTTAACACTAAGTAGGAAAAAAAGGAGTCGGATATTTTTTTTTTCTCTTTAAAGACTGCATCATGTTTATACAGCATCATGAGACAATGTGTGATATAAATTTATATGATGGGTTATATGACGAAGAAGAATTGCTTTGGCAGCTCGTTTCAATGTAGAGTTCCATGGCTGTATAGTGCGCTTCATTGCTGTGATGTCTCGTTTGGTGTTCTTTCAATATTTTCCAGTCGAATACCACGCCCTACAGACCTGCAGGACCAGGTGTACGAGGTTGACACAGAGACCGAGGTTAAAGACTCGGTGCGTCAGTTCCACTACCTTTTTTTGTTGGATAGCGCTTCACTGTGACGTCATACTGAAAGTAATGTTCGAATTTGAACTTGTTCATTTATGCAATATTTTGAACTTGTGTAGTGTTCTCTGATCCTTTTCATTTAGTTTTTGTTTTTCACACTAGTCTAGCAAGTTGGTATACTTTATACACTAGCTTTAGCACCTTTGTCGTCTCGAACATTAGCTCACTATTAGCCCCGAGAGCGAACACTGGCGTCGCTGCACTCGCGGCGAAGTGACGTCACGGCACACACCCGCCTGCTCCGCCGCCGACGCATGCCGACTCTCGCTTCTTTCCGAGCTCGCTGTGTACCTGTTCTTCAGTGATACGGTGGTGATTTCTTCTCAATTTCAAATAGTAGATTACTAAAAGTACAAAGTAAAGGTATTTATTGCTTTTAGAAGTTAACTAAGCTGCAGAAAGTATGGATCCACTTTGAAATTAAAGGTGCAGGACAGCGAGACATTAGTTGTCTTCACCATGCTTGTACTCGAAGAAATCAATGCTAAAGAATATTCATGCTAAATGGGCCTGCCTTCGTTACTACTTGGCATGAACTACATGATTAAAGATTTGTGTCAAAATATTACAAATGTTATAAATAAGGAGGTTTTCAGTTTTCTCACAGCATTGCAATTTACCATGCAAGTTATGTTTGCCTCTGCAAATAATGTAGCTCGTTAGACAGAACTTTGCTTTGGGATGCAGGAGGCTTTAGATGGACCTGTCTTTCATACGCAATCACTTATAATAATGACAAAAAAAAAGTTGTTGTATACCCTGATTTACGCAAACAGATGACTCGATCTGCCATCATGTCATAAATGGTAATGTTCACGTAGGAACACTGCTGATAGCAATCGTTTGCAAAACAATGGCCGGAAGGTCAAAATGAACTGTTTTGATGGCACACACCGCTTCGTGGCCCACGTGATAATGAAATGCCCCTTGCCTCAGTGAAGCAATGATTGGTCTCACACGTCATGTTCATATACCAATTGATGCTGTTGTGGGGCAATCAACCGTGGGAAAAATTTATTCATCAGGTGCCGTGACTATCTAAACTTAGAAGCGTGACACCACAGTTGCTAGGATGTTGCATGTAGACACTATCTGAAATCAGTAGCAGTTTCTGCAACTAACCTCAACTTGTTTTTCAAGTAAAATGGAGCACCGTAATTATTCTTCAAAACATGAAGCTAAATAACGTGATGAAATATGAGCTACTTCACCCAAGAAAATCTACCGCTACAGCTGCGGCGGTGTTCTCGGGCGAACGCATTCGAGATATTTTGGGGCATTTGGTACTAACTTAAGCACGCGCCCTTATGAAAAAAAAAAAAAAAAAAAAACCGACGCGTCCGATACAGATACCAATTGTGGAGGCGAAACAATCACATTTTTTTTAAGGAATCGCCCGTGAACAACGCAACCTGAAATGCAAGTGCGCTGTCGTATACATTTCAGCAGTGCATGACTGCGAGACACGCTGCAGTGTAATTGGGGTCACCTCGCATTTTTTAACCTGCTGCACATGCATTGTCTTGCTGTTCACCCTTGTCGAAGTGCGGCTACCATGGCTGAGAATGGAACTCATCTTCAGAGTAAGCAGCGCTACACCATAACAAACTTCATTAAAGCGTATGTGCTGGAGCGCAGGTACCATTGGCAATACTACTGAAAAAAAAAATGTTTTGTTTTACCAGGAACATTATCGATGCTGCTTCCGTTAATTATTTTAAGCGTGAGACAAGCAAAAAAGGAATGCTGGCCGCGCAGCGTCGTTCGAAGCGAGCGCGTGTTATGTATAACCGGGCCACACCAAGATTCCAAGAGCCTGTGCCTTGACGTCATGTCAGCCTCCCGCCAGACATTGCTACACCAACTTCTCGGGGCCAATGACCACTAAAATGTTTCACTGCGAAGCTCAAGGAGACAGGAAGAACACAGTTTTTTTTTTTTGCTCCATTTCTCTCCTTTTATTCTTGTGTCTCGTCTCTAGCACAGTTTTAGTTTACAAAATATGTTGTACCGACTCTCCCCCAACAAATTCTTCTTAAGCTCAACTATATATGGGTGCAATTCATGCCTATGGTGGCTGCATTTTTGTGGGAGCAAAACACACTGTTCCTCGCATACTTAGACTCAGCTGCACATTCAACACCAACTGGTAAAAATTAGTTCACAGTTGTGTCCTCATATTCATGGTTTTTGTGCATAAAAGCCCTGGAAATAGTATTTTTTTTTTCGTTTCTATGTTAAATCTCTTTGTAATGTTGGAACTTGTGTTCCTTAAGTCAACCACCTTATGGCGTGCTGGCATCTTGACTTATATATGAATGGCTTAAGTTTAAGTGGCGAGCTGAATATATGCAGTCGCAGAAATAATTTTTTAATTTTTAGATAGATATTTGGTAGTGGTCGTTAACTTGGAAGCAGGAAAAGTTCAGAGTGCATCAAATCCCTTGCACAGCTGCACTGTCCGTATATTTGTTGGCAGTGCTTTTCTAAGCGTAGAATAGTGCTTTTAATCACCTTTTTTTTAAGTTCTGATCGATTGGCCATCAGTGTAATGGCGACTCAAAAATTACATCAGAAATACATCACACACATCAGAGGAACGAAAAAAAATTGCATCAAACGTACCACCACAACTCACTAGGTATGAGCAGAGGTATTTGTTGTGGCTTCATTTTCTGCTGGGTCAATGCCGCAATGATGCTTGAATGTTGATTTATTTTAGGAGAGCAATCTCAAGGGCGACTCCGAGGTCATCAAGGAAGGCTACATACTCAAAGGGCCAGAATCGGGCACGGACAGCTTTATTAGCTTGGCAACAAAGGTGGGCCATGTCGTTTAATCTAATGGATAGCAACATGTTTGATGTGCATTGATATATAGTCTTGAAGACTGTACGTACGTGTACACGGTACGAGAAGTACCGAATATATGAAATTGAATATGTGCACTGCCAGGACAGAGTGCTCTGATATGTATAAATTGCATGCTTTCGTATGCATCACATATGTGAAGCACTCATAACGTTTCTTAATTAACAAAATTGGATACAGGATGCAGTAAACAAACATTTTATCTGATGATGTGCAGGGGCAGGAAGAGAGCTTTGGATTTCTAGCAGGAAAGCAGGATGGATATCCTAACAGAATTTAATAAAAAGGCAGTACAGACAAACATACATATCACTATAGCTGTGCATCATTTTGACAGTTTATTCACTATGGATGGCCTCTGCTCTGTCTTCTCTAGCTTTATTACTCTAGTCTGGTTGTGCAAGTGAAGTCTCGAAATCGATTTGAATTGCTGCCAGTCAACAATTGTCTACAAAAGATTATTCTGTGTTCTTGAATACTGCTCTCCATGTATTTGAGAAATGCTTCATGTTATGGGTAGCCCTCGGCTATTTCCTCATGAATGATGTTTTCAAGACATAATTTTAAAAAAATTATCGGTATACAGTTGAATGTCTTTATAAAAGACATGTACCAGAGAGCAATTCTTGTGCATCGTCTCTCACATCACCTAATCGTCTCCCGTATCAATGCCTCTTATAGAACAGTCCAACTGTATTGGTAAAAGTAAACTAACTTGTTCAAGCTTCCATTTCGAAGTCTAACCACCCAGTCATATAATGTAAGTTAGTACTGTATGATAGACAAAATAATTTTTCGTAATCATATTGTAGCCTAGCTACAGTGTTGTGCTAGTACTGTGCCGAAGGCTGTGAGTTTGGTATCAGCTGGAGCTACGGAAGTTCGATTGTGTTGAAAGACAGGAATATGCATGCACGTAAACTTCGGTACACAATAACAAGTGCCATTTGGTTTAAATTAATCAAAGGTCTATCACTACAGTGGGCCTCATGATCAAATAGTTTATGGTGTGTAGACCTTCATAATATAAATTTGGCTCATTGTCTGGAATGTATATCCCTAGTGCTTGAATATGACATAGTTCAAAAACTAGATAATTGGTTTAATGTTATCTCTTATCCTTTTCTAGACACCTCCTTTAATCTCTTAGCCTTTTCTAAAAACCTCCTTTCTGCTCTCTAGTTTGTTTTTTTTCTGACCCGGTACCACTATTATTACATAACATTGATTGTATGTTCTGTGCTACTTGTTTGTACAGTCGTTCAAGAGGAGATACATGACGTTAACGCGAGGAGTGGATGGCAGCCACTCGATAGAATTCTACAAGGACGACAAAAAGACAGAGTCGAAAGGCACTATCTGCATGGACTTCTGTAGCAAGGTAGTCAGGGTAAGTGGACAACAGAAATACATGTTCGTGTCGGGGAGCACCTCTTTGCAGACTCGACCTCTTTGTGAAAGTCGGATTGTTTCTTCCACAGAAACAAATATACAACGCTCCGTGTTGTGCGATTGGGCTGAATGTAAAAGAAATTCAAAGCTTCTCAGCCATTTTTTCCCCACGCGAATTTATGGTCACATTAAGTACTTGTAGCTTGAGTGCATTGTATAGCCTTCATTAGCTATAATTGTGCAGCTCATTGTACCTTTCTCAATATGATTTGTTGCAAAGCTTCTGCTTCACATTGTTGAACATTCATGTGTGTGTATAGGGCTCATGGATTGATACGTGACTTCAGAATTTTGAGTATAATAACTTGTATGCGTGATCGCTCTATGTAATGCATCATGCCGCTATGATCATACTGGCTTTTATGCGAGCATTTGAGTTGAAGTTATGCCAACGTACACGAACGCAATAAGACAGTGTTGTGAACAAAAGATTTTTGAAAAATGAAGCCGTGGAAAAGCTTCCGCTCACTTTCGTTCGTTGCTGGGTGACGTGTTCACGCATGTAGCATTGAGAATTGGGCTGATGAAGTGATATTGCTGCTATGGCTTGCAGCCATGATCATTAGGAACTCGTTTTTCTTCATTAGCTCTCGCAAATTATCCCAAACCTTACCAAAAAGTCTCTCAGTTTGCCCATGACTGAACTGTAGTCGAGTTCCTTGGCATCACGTGCAATGTTTGAAGATTGAAGACTATGTTGTTTACTTAGTTGTCTATCCTGTTAATTCCATTCACTTTAGCATCGATCTTGTCGAGAAATAAATTATGCATGGTTTACTACTGTCAAAGTGGCTGTTAGATTTTACAGTGAAAGCTGTTATGATATTGTATCACAACAAGGGTCGCGTGTACAGTAGTTGTCCACCGCTGCCGCCGCCGGTGTCTGTAACCACTACTGTGCAAAGGGAGAAAAAAAAAAGCTAAGTAAATGAAAAGCAGCAAGGACGCAGTAGGATTCGAACCCGAGTCCCTGGGTGCCAGCCCTATAATCTAGTAGTCCATCTACGACTGAGCAAATCAGGTGCTTGGAACTCCGTTGCAAATTGACCATAGGCAGGCTTCATGTCGGGAAAGGAATCTCATTAATGTGTGTAATAAAGCGCTTTAGAACAGCTAAGGAACAGCCAGGTGTCACACAATGTGAATTGCATAACAAGTGGGTCTTCAAATGGTACAACGCATTACAATAGCACCAGGCATAATTCATCGTCGTCAGCCACAGCATCGAAAAAAATTGCACAAAAATCCTTGCGAGTGTGTAGCAGGTTCCATGCTTCTCAGAAGCATGATGAAGGATAGCATAATGCATCCCTCCCCACTGCACAAAAATTATGAATATTTATGGTGTAGTGAGTACCCTGCAAGCGTGCTTTGTATCGGTTACCAAAGTGTTTAAAAAGGCCCTGAAAGGTCGCTCTCTCAGTTTTTGCTGTGTGTTCTTCATAGGCCTGGCGTTTTCTTTATTATACTTTCTTTTATTCTGTGAGAACCGGTATGAATCATCAATAGTACTTGTGGGCCCTAGTGAAGTGCGGCATGGCAGGCAAATCTCATCTCTGCAATATGGCAGTGAAGTTGCTCTTTTATATTTAATATTAGAAAAAAAACTCGGTCATTCGAGGCCTGCATTTTTGGTTACTGCATTCAACTCGCCGAACATCAAGGCACTGATAAAGGCACCTTTGTAGCACAACGCTGTTATTTCACCCAATCCAGGGACTCTGGGCTGATTAGTGCCAATAGGTTTTTTTGCATTGTACTCAAACATTACATAGCTACAATCAACTTGATAGCTACTTTCTTAGGTCTGCTAATGCATACCTAATTAATTGGCTCTGCTAAATCCAGCAAGGTGGTTGCAGGGTTGAAAACTACCAGTTTGTAGCATGAGGCCATGAAGAAACTTGTGTGAGAAAGTTTCTTAGTAGGCAAAAAATTTATCCTGGTTGAGGAGTCGGCAATTCCTTCTATCACAGTGCAAGATTCCGCAGAATTGATTTGCAGAAGTCTGTGTCTGCTCTTCAAGTTGTCGATTAATTTGCCTTTGTGCTGCAAATCACTAGCTTGTTGGTTAGCTCATTCGGTAAAGCAACCGTCTCAGAAAGACATTGGTCTCGAAATCAGTCCCCGGACCAGAGTGAATTTTTTGGCTACTAAGAAGCCTTCTTTCTGAAAAATCTGTATGGCTTTCCTCCTAGCTTCAGGCGGCTTTCAATTTTTCTTTCTTCTTCCTCCTTGCATAAGTTAGTCATATCAGTTTTTCATAGCAGTCTCACATAGCAGATCTGCTGGGGTTTTCGTAAGAGACTAATTGAATGCGCACTGTGCAGAATTCCAAACGAAGCAAGTTAAGCTTCGAGCTGCGCATGCAAGACGGCCACAAGTCGTGCGTGCTGGCGGCCGAGAGCGAGGTTGAGATGGATGGCTGGATGGCCATGCTGGTGGCCATCACTACCAACTACCGCAACGCCCAGGAGTCCAACAGGAAGGCTGCGGCCGCTGTCGTCTCATCACCCGAAGGTCTACTTCTTTTGTGCCGTGTTGTATTTGTGCATAAAAGCGTTCTCGAGGAGACAGCTCACGTAGAAATCTGCTGCGGCTATATAAATGGCAGGAACTGCCTATACTAAGATGTTCTTTACTTTGGCGATGGTCCACAGATTATTTTGTAATGGAATGCAGGTTTATTTGTTTGGCGTATTTCATTACCCTCTTTATTCTTGCCTGGTCTTAATAACCATTCCACCGGCAAGCTCTAAAGAAACAAAATACACGATACTTTTTTTGTCATGAATTTAAGTTGCATATGCAATATAGTGAGCGCGTATATTTTGTCAACAAGACGCCGAGCGCTTCAGGAAAGGACGATGCTAACGCAGTTGAATCCCTTTATAAGAGACACTGATATAACATAAATTTGGATATCGTACTAAGACACCAGTGTGCCTACTTTGAAATCTTCCCTTTTCTAGCCTTTGTTTTACATTGCAATAGGCATTGATAAGAAAATGCATACATGGAACCTGGCTTATAAGAGCTGTCTAATATAGAAGACATGAATTCATGCTTAGTGCATGGTTCAACTGTATGTGAGACAATAAAAGGGATGTACAGATAGTCAAATCACACTTGCCTAGCATCATTTCACCACATGCTTGCTGTGTGCCACTTGTTATGCTGCGGTGGGTTCTCGCGCAGTTATGACGACGAATGCTTTGCAACAGGAGGCATTGAGATTATAGCTGACTCAGTAGCTGACATCAAATATGAAAGGCTTAGCAGATTTTGTCTTTGTTAAAAGTTTTGTCTTTGTTAAAAGTGCAGCATTTAAATTTCTATACATATATTGTGCTTTATTTTCTTTCTCTTGTTGGTTGTCATGGTCGTGACAAAAGATACACTGAAGCTAGAAATCGGGAATAAATACATGGTCGGGAGTTCACTAGAGTATGTGCGAGTGCTGTTGACGTTCATCTCGCAAGAACTCGCCGATAAATTCTGTGAAATGTTTCATCCCCAAATAACGACATTAATTTAGTCAACTGAAAAGTTAATTTGGGGAATTGTGATGAGGTAAAAAAAATGTGCCCATTTTTGACTGCATAAAACTCGCTCCAATTTACGCACACTACTTGTTTAGTTATGAAGCATTGAAGAAATTTGAAAACATGCATGGTTCTTCTTTATACACTTTAGTAATGTAATGTGCCTAAGTCTGGCCATGTTGTGCAAAGCTTAATCTAAGAGGACACAATGAAAGAATAAATTAAAACAGCATCCTACATTTGAAGGTTTCGAGGAGAACTTAAGTATATTGTATGAAACCTTTGCAGAAAGTGTGGTAACGTCGCCATCATCACCGTACGGCTATGGAACATTGAAAAGCTTGGAGCACAGCAAGAATCCAGACTTGGTGAAGGTATTGAAGAATATTCTTATGTCCTACTGTTTGCTGTGGGTTAGTGCAGTTATGTCTAACGTTATAAAAGTTTAATGATTTTGAATTCACAAATTGATTTTCATCAGCCTCACAGATCTCACTGAAAGCAATGTTGTCATGTATTGTTCAAACCAAATGTATTCTATACCCATGTGCCAACGTTAGATTTTGTGAATACAGTAGAACCCCGCTGTTGCATTCCTGTGTGCTGCGTTTTCCTGGCTGTTACGTCGTTTTCGGCCGGTCCCGGCACAGCTCCCATAGAATTGGGAACCCCGCTGCTGCGTCGCAACTGTGGGACTGTTCCCGCATCATACGTTGCGAAGTGCCACTGACGCGCCGGTACGAGCGGCCATGTTGTCTTTCATGTAGCTTGGCTTGGCGGCTTGACGATGGGATTGGCCGCCCAAAGTGCCGGGGGCAACACTTATGACGTTTTTTCGGTTCATGCCAGCAAAAGCATGACCTTTGAGATCCGTATTTGCACTCTAAGAAATATTGTGTCTATGACGCGTTGGGGCCCTAAAATTGGTTTTGGCATCTGTAAAAGTAAGGTCTCCGAGACCTATTTTTGTTTTCTTAGGATGTCACGCTGGCTTAAACTTATCGCCACCTGGGTCGCGCAGGCGGCCCGATTCAAAGAGTATAGCCCGATCGCCATCACCATCGCCCATGTGTGCCCGTGCTACCCGTGCTTGCTGCGGTCTTCTCGCGTTGCCTTTGTTTCGTGTCGGTCGTTGCGCTGGTTATACGAGCAGTGCAGGCATAGTGCCTTTACACTTCCAACGCCATGGAGATTGTTGTGCCAGTGGAATCGCATACAGTGACTACGCTTCTGTTGACGAACGCCGTTGTCACCTCCGCAATGTTATCCGTTGACGACATTGTGGCTGAGTGCGCCGATCCGTGTGCCAGTGACGAGGAAGTTGAGGAGGAGGTGGAGCGGATACCGGAGCCAACGTCCTCATCGGCCGTAGCGGCACTGGATTTATTGCGAAGATATGTGTGCACCAGTGACGATGGCGAGAGCCGCATGGCACTACAGGTGCTTGAAAAATGCCTTGTGCTTGTCGGGCGTGAGAAGATGCGCTAGGCAACGCTGCATGATTTTTTCAAGCGAAAGAATTAAAATAAAGCTATGTGCAGTTCACCACTACTCTTATTTCTCAATTTTTCGCGTTTCTCGGCTTTTGCGTTTCCCGGCTCCTACGTTTTGTTTTTTACGGTCCCGTGAAAAACGTATCAGCAGGGTTCTACTGTAGTATGCTTAGGTATTGTGTATCCTTGCAGCTAAAATGGTCTGCATTAAATTTTTTTTTTCAGTATGCCAAGGAGACTGACTACTCCATATCCCAAGCACGCAAACAGAATAGGCAAAACCTGTTCTCTATTTATCCAGACCTACAGGTAAGTGGTTTCTTCAAGTCCAGCGCTTTGTTACTTTACATTATTCACTGACACCATTATGTTCTTTGTGGCATTTTGTTGGCACATACTGCTAGCTTCCTTTAGAAGTACTGCTTACGTGGTGGAATATCAACAAGTGTATATTGCTTAAGATGGTACTACTGCATGCTGGAGCTTCTTTAATTGGTTGCTTTCATATTTGGATGATGGGCAAAAAAACTTTCATCAATAGACTTTTCTTAGTCTTTGTAAACAGAGCCACAGCAGTAAACTCTAAAGCATTCTTCTCAAAAGATGAAAAACCTAAAAGGAAGTCTTGCAGCACCCTGTTTTTATTTTAGTTATAACTTGTGGCAAAGACTCTGCATGAGATTTAAGAGCCATTCATTTTATTACGTCACTTGGGCCTCCTTGTAAACGAAGTTGGCAGTGCCTTCAGCCGTCAGTTGTACTTCATTATGGGGGACACAGCTTTGTTCTTTTTTATGTCGAAAAAATTCAATTATGTTGAGGATTTGCCTGGCAGATATACATCCACACATCTTTTTCATTTACCAGAAGTCCTGGTGCCATACTTACTTTGAACTTTTGTTGGCCCCAATTATGTGTATCTGTTTCGATAGCAGCTTGTTCTTTTTATTGAGCAACCTCAATTTTTAGGGCCTTTGTAAAATTTAAATTACACACGCGATCATTACTGTGCTGAAGTTGTAGAAGGCCAAATGTGTAGCTTTGATCCCACATACCGTGAAATCCCGAGCAAGCACCCCTCCTCCCACTTTCAAGAGATTTGAAATATGCCCCAATGATCAAGCAAGTGCACTCGCCTCTCTGCTGTTACTATTTTCACTGTTTCAAGTACTGTATTTATTCTTTGATGAGGGAAATGAACTACAGTTATTACTAGCTTATTCAATAAAGCATTTCGTTGGAAACATGGCCGTTCGTTCTGAATGCTTAGCAGTTTTCCCACAGCCATCTCTAGTTTTATTATGTGGACAAACAAGGGGCCCCACCTCTCCAGATCTTGTTGGATTATCCTTCACCATAGGGGGGGGGCACTCGTTGGGAATTTACGGTACCTTTCTGTGCCAATCGGGACAAGTTGCCAAGCCCCCTTGTTACCTATGCAACTAAAACAGGTTGCTAGCCAATGTTTTGTATGAATAACGCACTTTTCAAGATTTTGATTAACATTTATATCTCGCATTGTGAAATCCTTGCACGTGCAGAGGTCAAGCAGCTGCATGCACATCTCGAACTACGAGCGACGCGTGGAGCCTTTCAAAGAAGAATTCAACACGCGCATGTTTGTGAAGTGCGAAGAGGTCAAGTTCAACCTGCAGGCGCCTCTGGACTGCCAGAATGGATCCCTCTGCCAGGTACATCACTGGTGCTTGATGACGGTAGTACTAGTAAAAACCTTTATTCAGAAAGCTGTCGGCTTCTTGAAAGGAGATGACATTCCGCCGCGGTGGGTGCTCTGCTACTGACCCGAAAGTCAGAGGTTTGGTCCCAGCCATGGCAGTTGCATTTCGATAAAGGCAAAATGCTTGAGGCCCATGTACTGTGTGATGTCAGTGCACATTAAAGAACACAAGATGGTCGCAATTTCCAGAGCCCTCCACATGGTGTTCCTTGTAATCATAATTTGGTTCTGAAACATAAACCCTAGATATTAATATTATTGTTGCAATTATTATTGTTATTGTTATTATTATTATTATTATTATTATTAGTAGTAGTAGTAGTGGTAGTAGTAGTAGTAGTAGTAGTAGTAGTAGTAGTAGTAGTAGTAGTAAGGAGAGATTGCTGTCAAGCTGTGCGTGGTGTCCACCTCGTCAGCACATTTCACTATCTGAAGCTGGGCATCCAAAGCTAGTTCTTTTGAAGGTTTTCTCCCAGGCTTCACTTGACGTCAGTGCCACGCAAGCTGTGTAGCTTGCTGTTTTCATGAGTTGTGGGTTGGTGTCAGATGTTCATGGGGCAAGGTCTTACGTTGATAAAAAGTGTTATTGTTGTCTTGTTGCGCTTTCTGCTGCATGAAGCTCGATGCAACTTTCTACGCGCATTCCTCGCTGATGCGGCCACGGTTGGACTTGCCTTTGGCACTTCTGCTGTTTCGAGAATTGGTACATCTCTCTCTGCAGGTTGAGCCCTACTTTACCACCATGGCCGTGTACGATGTACGCCACATGCGCAAGGTGACTGAAGATTTCCGCTTCGACTGCAACAACTCATACATGCGCAACATGCTGCCAAAGACAACGCGAAGGAAAAGCACCAGCGGCTCGGCTCCCAACGGCTCCGCTGGCACAAAACTCAGCGACACATTGCTGCCTGGAATGAGTGAGCTGGGAGAGGAATGGCTTGCATTTCCACAGCAGGTAATAGCGCCGGCACCCTGCCCAGAGGCGAATTTAAACTTTTAATTTATCGTTGCTGATGACACTGTTTGCAATGGTCTCTGCCACTCCAACCTTTGGTAGTGCTTTCTCACATGCGGTACATGCATTTGATTTTAAATTATTTGCCTGGCTTTGCAGGTGTTTTTATGCCATTTAAGTGTGGGTGTTTTCGTGGAATGAACCTATGTGAAAATTGGTGTTCTTTCTGTCCTCTCGTATTTTTTTTTCTGTAGTTTACCATTTGCACATTGCGCTTTCAATTTTGACGCAGTGATGTGCTTAGTAGGTGCTGACAAGTTAGTTGGCAGCATAGCATTTAGCTGAACGAATGCATAAAAAGAAATAGAGCATAGTGATAACGAAATACAGGAAGCTGATTTGTAGTTATGTAGGTCGCATACATGTTAATTGTCTTCACACTTATTCACTTGTATTGCCTTACTAGTATCTAACAAACAGTGAACATAGGAGATAGGGCAAGTTGTTGCCGTGAGTTTCATCAGGGGGTGCAATAGAGGAACTTGTCCCCCAAGGCACATCAGCATTACCCTGTCCTCCTAGCCTCAAGACAACATGGGTTTTTCTACCTTATAAGACAAAATCTTGCCAATGTCCATGGTTGCTGCCAAGCTCTTTTTTAGACTTCGGGTTGTATGTGCCACATTTTAACAAGGATGAAATGCAAAAAGAAAAATGTTGATGTGGCTCTCATTAAAAGCAGACATTAACAACTTCATGTGATAGAAATAACTCGTATAGGCAAGCTGTGCCTTGGGTTTCATGTGGCTGGGGTGCCGCGCAGGCAATCTTCATGGTTCAGCGTCCGGACTCCGAACTGTTCCTGGTGGTGAGGGTGGAGAAGGTTCTGCAAGGAAGCATAGCACAGGCTTCGGAGCCTTACCTGCGGCATGGTAGCGATGGCCGGCAGGGGACCAAGGCCCAGAAGATGTTCCGGCTTTGCTGCCAGCGGCTCGACCACTTCCGCATGCCCTTCGCCTGGGCCGCCAAGTAAGCATCCATTACACAACAGCATTGACACCATTTTTAGTTTGTTTGAATTGTCTATTTGTAATTAGCACTGCTAACTTATTATAGCTGAACCCCTTTATAAGAGACACTGATGTAAGAGACAAATGGGTATAAAAGACACCAGTGTGCCTACAGTAAAACACGGGTTGTTAGGAAAATACATACGTGGTGCCATGGTTATAAGAGACATCTCATATAAAAGACAAGAATTGCTGCCTGGTGCATGTCTCTCATAAAGAGGTTTAACTGTATAAATGTATAAGATCTGTTCATAAGCAGCCATGATTGATTTCCATTTCACCGGAATTATTCATAAAACGAATGTGAAATGTGTCCTTGTGGAAGCGAGTTGCAATTGTTTGATGTTAAGAAACTGCACTAATTTTTCATGCCTTCAAGTTTCCATCTTCTAGGAGTTTCTGCCTTTTTAGAATCACTATTTACTATTCTCCTCTGCCTACAGGCCTCTGTTCAGTCGGCATTCCAGTGAGTTGGACAAGTTCATGGAGTTTGGGCAGATCTACCGGCAAGACAGTGCTAAACTCTCCGAAGAAGACACGCTGAAGTTCCTTTGTGACCTCAAAAGGTAGCCTTTCTTTTTCTTTTTTGTCTTCAAAGATGATGTTAAAACGCAGTAACATTGCGACATTTTGTGCATTAGTAGCTAGTATAGTGTATTTTCAATGAATCAGTTTTGTTAAGAATGCAGTATTCATGAATGAATAAAACAATGTCAGTGCAAGAAAAATGTCACAGAGAAGTAAAGATTTGCACTCAGAGAGGCTACTGTGCCACCGATGTGAGAACATGAAAGCAGCCCCTCAAAAAAACACTTGTTTCTTTTTTTTTTTCTATTTGTGCACGTTCATATAGTAGCGTAAAATAGTTATTGCATTTCAGCATGAAAGAAGATGTGATTTGGTTTATATTGGTGAATTTCAATACAGTTGGGCCAGCCCCTTCTACACTGTTATAGCACAAGTACATTTATATTGTCTGAGCTCGGTTGTTGAATGAACTTCTCGAGATGGGTAGATAAGTAAGCCTATAAAACTGGCTAAGTGGTTTGTTGAAGAATGCATCACCCACCCATTCATTAAAAATAATCCTAAACGTGCCGAGGCAAATGCATATGACCATATGAAGGTCGCCATGTGATGACGCACCCGCAAGTCGCGGGATCAAATCCTGGCTGCGGTGGCTGCATTTCTGATAAAGGCTGAAATGCTGTAGGCCCGTGTGCTCAGATTTGGGTGCACGTTAAAGAACCCCAGGTGGTTCATAATCATATGGTGGTTTTGGGAAATTAAACACCACATATCAGTCATGTAATGACGTGTGGCAAAGGTCTGTCTGAGATATATAATCATGGTCAATGAGCATGAACCGTAAACTAGTTTTCATAACTTCATGATGCACTGAGCATACTTCATAATTTTTCTATAGCAAAAATCACAGATGCGCTCCCTTTTTATTTATTTTTTTGTGTTACACAATTTGATACATGTTAGATGTTGGTAGACATTGCTTTTTACTTATGTGGGTGCTATAGACGACCGGAGCATTAAGAGCAAGGTCAGAGCTGCAATGTAAAGCAGTGAGCACATCTTGATTTATCATCTGCCTTTTGACCCACTGAATAATTTGATACACTTGGTTCCTTCAATTTTGAACTAGCTTAAGTCAGCTGTATGGCATTTTCTGTAGTATTCTGAGAAGATTTTGGTGGCGTAGTTTCACAGTTGGAAAATGTATTACTTATGACTCGCATTTTCTCATGTGCGTACCTTTTGTTTGTCTTTCCTGTAGGCCAGAAAAAGTGAAACATTTCACAGTGATTCCAGGACACATCAAGGTTTCACTGAGGCTTTTGAGACATGACGAGACTGTCGACAGTGAGTGGCGATTTTATTTTACCCTCTCGTCTCTCTGAATTTACTCAGCCTTGTTAGCCCTATTGGATATCTAGAGCTTAGTAAGGCATGATTGTGCACAGGTAAAATCATATTAGAACCTTGTTATTGGTGTGCCATATATGCTTGATGGTAATTTCATTTCACTTTCTCTTTCTAAAATCGTCATGTTGGCATTTATTTTATCATTTGTGTTACCGTTTAAAATTAGCATGAATGATGCTGCAACTGAGCTGTTCTAGATTGCCTAAAAACCTGCTGTTGTGCAGTTTTCGTTTCCATTGCTGGTAAAGCTTGATTTGAAATGCATTGGTATGCCACATAGTTCTCTCCTCATTGTGGAAGAAGGGAGAGACGTAGGGGGATTCCAGTGGATTTATTTCTACTCATGTTTCAAGGGCGGCTTCTTGTCGGCGTGTGTGAATATTCGAATTCAATTTGATGTGAATTTTTAAATTATTGGGAATTTCGAAGTATTCAAAATGAATGAATAGGTGTAGATCAGTTTACAAGCACCCCCCCCCCCCCCCTTCACTTTGTAAAGGTGGTTTCATTGCTCTGCGGGATGGCTATACCATGAATACGTCTATCCAAGGGAAATCTTCACGGCCTCGAATCCCCGCTTCAAAGTTAAATGAACATATTGACACACCTCGATGGGTGCATGAAGAGGACAAGGTCGAAGCCGGTCTGGCTCACGAGCATCTCGCTCTCCTTTTTCTGTCTCTGAGCTGTACCTCTCGCAATCATTCCATTCTGTAAATAAACGCGTTCCATCATCACAGTTGTGGTGGAAGGTGCTGGGTAAGCCAGCTACTGTGAAGCGAAACCAGAGGGCAGATCTCTACTAAAAATGGAACCGCGAGAGCACGGGCTTTGCCGCAGCCGTCGACTTGCAGGCTTGCCACCACTACCTCAAGAGATGAACTTGGACAGCGACATCCAACAGTCAATTGCGAGAGCACCTCCTTTACAATACCGAGAGCCATGCACGTTCACAGAGAAACCTGGGGATGAAATTGAAGAATAGCTCAACCACTGTCAACGGGTGAGCCGAGCCAATGGTTGGAATTCCGCCAGCCAGTTGTCCCACATGGGTCTATTTCTCGAATTCAGTGCTTTAGTATGGTTCGCGATTCATGAAGACACCCTGACAACATAGGACCGATTCACGGAGGAGATCAAGAAGTGCTTTGCGACCCTACGACGAAGAAAGGCGCAGAGCAAATGTTGTCGCAGAGAGCTCACTTGTGGTGAGATTTGCAGAACATACATTGAAGAGGTACTAAAACAGTGCAAGTGTGTGGATGCCAACATGACGAAAGAAGACAAAATGGGCCACATTCTCAAAGGAATTGCGGAAGATGTCTACCACTTCCTTATTGGCAAGGAGAGTGTTGATTCGGTGGCCGATGTGATCGGGCACTGCCGAACGCTTAAGGCCCTAAAGACTCGTCGCATCACTTCGAAGTTCGGACGCCTGGCCAATGTCACGACCGTCGCCACTGTCGATGTGTGCGAAGACTCCTTGCCTGCCAACCTTAAATCGACGATTCGGCTCATTGTGCGCTAGGAACTTCGTCGTCACGTTTCTGTACGCCTGAAAGCCTGAGAAGCACTGTGGGATACACCGTTCACAAGCATTAATGCTGCTATCTCAATCGTGGTCCTCAGATAAGGGTTCCACCTCCGACGTCTTGTTATGTAGAGCTGCCTAATGCTCTCCGCAGTCGTAACGGCTACAACAGCCATTCACCTCCTTTTGTGTCTCAGTAGGAACAGAGCGCCGCATACCCTCAACATCCAGCGATGTTCTTTATGCCTCGTAAACATCCCGTCTGCTACCGATGCGATGTTCTGGGACATATCGCTGGATTTTGTCCAATGCTACGTCATCCACGTTCGACATTTCCTCAGTGATCTGCGACGTTTGCACGTCGAAGCCAATGGCCTGACTACCCCCAACCTGCTGGCCCCCCAACCCAACTGATGAGTGGCACGCCCACCAGCCGATCAAATGGAGTGATTTGCCTGGGTCTGTGCGCAGCTTAATACCGCCCACCACGCATCCGCCTCAGTCACCATCTCCACAGCGCTGGTCGCGGCTTTCGTCTCCGCCACCGGAAAACTGGCCAGCGTGGCCGACGGAGGTGAGGTCGCTGGACGTACTAATTATCATCAAAGTATGCCTCCACCAGTTTCTTTGCTTCAAAATAAGGTTCATGTACTTGTTGACGATGTTCCCATGATGGCATTGATAGATACTGACGCAAGTGTTTCTGTGACGAGTTTAATTTTTAAGCAATGAGTTGGCCGCAAGGTTATGTTTCATTGGGACAAACCTTCCACTTTTCGGGCAGTGAGCGGCGCATTCTTACGTACAGTCGATGTCTCCACTGTGTCCGTTAGTGTTGCCGTTGAACGTTCAAGGAAGAATTCACAGTACTGGCTCAATCAACGCACGTTAAAACTGGCATAGGCTTTTTGCGAGAGTGTCGTGCGACCATGGATTGTGCAGCAGGTAAGGTTCTGTTGTCTACTCTCGCCCAGCAGCCTGATTGTGAGAAACGTAACCTCATTGCAGCTAAAGATTCCCTTCTGCCAGTGTGGTCGACGGCCAGCATACAAGTTACCGCTTCGGAAACTGACTCGAGTTTCACTTTACGTGACATAGTGATTGAGCCATTGCCCGTAGCTTGTGTCAAGAAAAACATCTTTGTACCACGCTGCGTTGTATCTCTCACAGACGAGAAGGCTCAATTATGAGTGACAAACAGCTCACCGGGTCGGTTGTACTACCGGCTGGTATGCGCCTTGCCCTGTTCGAAAAGTAGAGCAGTACCTGCGTTGGAGCCTTAAGCAATCCTGCAAAGGCGGATCCCGATGAAACTTCTGGTATGGAAGCTGAATTCTCAGAAATGGTTAGCAAGTCTATTTCTTTGCAGAAGCGCAGAGTCCTGGTTGCACTACTGGCGAGACAAGCTAAAGCATTTGATTTTGCACAGAAGGTACATGGGCTGAGACATTGACCACGCTCGCTCGGCAAAAGATCGATACTGGCTCCAGCAAAAGTTCTATCGTGTTTCCTCGTCCGAGCGCAAAGTTATTGCTGAACAAGTTGGCGAGATGCTAGCTACTGGTGTAATTCAAGAATCGTCTAGTCCTTGGACTTAGTAAAGTAAAGAGAAAAGATGGGTCCTGGAGGTTCTGTGTTGATTATCGGTGTCTCAACTCTATAACCAAAAAGGACATGTATCCCCTCCCTCAAATCGATGACGTCATTGACTACCTGCATTCAGCTTTCTATTTTTCTTCGGTAGACTTGCGATTCAGGTATTGGCAGATTTCCATGGATCCAACTGATAAAGAAAAGACTGCTTTTGTTACGCCAGGCAGTTTCTTTGAATTTAATGTTATGCCATTCGGCTTGCGTAATGCTCTGAAAACATTTAAATGCTATTAGGATACCGTCTTGAGAGGCCTTAAAGGGGAAAGTTGTTTATGTTACCTGGATGACGTGGTTATTTTTGGACAAACTTTTGAGGAACATAATCATCGCCTCGACGTTGTTCTAACATGTTTGGAGGAAGCTGCCTTGACACTGAACTAAAAAAAATTTCGTTTCCGTGAACGTCAAATACTGGCTTTAGGACACCTTGTGGACAAAGCAGCGCTAGGCCGGACCCACAGAAAGTTGACGCCGTCAGCAAGTTCAAGCAGCCACAGTGTCTCCACGAGCTGCGAAGCTTTCTGGGCTTATGCACTTATTTTCACCACTTTGTGCCTAATTTTGCTGAAAAGGCCCAGTCACTGACTGACTCGCTGCACAAGGACGTCCCTTTTCTCTGGACACCAAATTGTGAGTCGGCGTTTAAGCAGCTACAGTTCGTTCTCGCTTCTGGGCTAATGCTACGCCACTTCGATCCCTCTGCTCTCACGAAAATCTACACTGTTGCCAGTGGAGTTGGTCTCGGCGTAGTGCTCATTGGGCGCCACAACAATGCTGAACACTTCGTTGCCTATGCAAGCCGGTCCCTGAGCAAATCGGAGCGTAATTATACGGTTACTATACTGGAGTGCCTCGCCGTCATTTTTGCCATACAAAAGATTCGCCCCTACATCTATGGTCGTCTTTTTTCAGTCATCACTGATCATCACTCCCTTTGCTGGTTGGTAGGCCTACGTGACCCATCTGGTTGACTTGCACGATGGGCCCAACGATTACAAGAATTTGACTTCACGGTCTGCTACAAGAGCGTTAACCGCCACGCAGACGCTGACTGCCTGTCACCGCTTCCTCTACCAACGACCCACTGTGAAGCTGACAACTTTGACCATTTTATCACGGCTATTTACTCTCATTTCCATGACATCGCAGCTTTCCGAGCAGCACAGCACGAGGATCGTTGCTTGTATGACCTGTTTGGCTCCGCGAATGACGCCTCCAACACAAGTTCTTTTGTAGTTCATGACGCCGTTCTTTACAAAACGATATATTCCGGTCAAGGCGCCCATCTGCTTCTGGTAGTCCCACGCACTCTACGTCCCCAAATTTTTCAGTTCTGCTATGACGACGCAACCAGTGGACACATGGGCTTCGCCAGAACGTTTCATCGCATCCAGCCGCACTGGCCCAAGATGCGACCTGACACGGAAAAATATGTAGCGGGTTGCGAACAATGTCAACGTCACAAGCGTCCCACGACTATGTCACCCGGACTTCTCCATCCCGCACCACCTCCTAGCTCTCCCTTCGAGATTGTTGGTGTCGACCTTCTAGGTCCGTTTCCATGTTCAGCCAGTGCCAATCTATGGGTCATCGTGTGTGTCGACCACCTGACGCGCTACGCAGAAACTGCGGCAATACCTACTGCAACAGCCTTTCACATGGCGCAGCTTATGCTTCGGCTTATAATCCTACGTCATGGCCCTCCACGAATCGGCATTAGCGACTAGGGAGGTCAGTTCATCGCTGACGTCATTGAAGAGATCCTGCGCCTGTCTGCTAGCCAAATCCCCCACGCGACCCCGTATCACTCACAGACGAATGGCCTCCTAGAGCGGGCCAACAGGACACTAACGAACATGCTGTCAGTTTATGTTGGTGCCAAGCATAAAAAATGGGATCAATGAAGGGGAGCCACAATTATTTCGTTATATTCATTATTTTGTTATATCGATTATAACAGTTTGTGGCAATGTATGCTCAGATGGGCGCACACCTATAAGCACGCAAAGAAGGAAACCGTCTTGCGGCCCGATGTACCGCTACGCAACCATGCGTGGTTCGCATGGTCACTGAAGATAAACTCAGTCAAATCTCATTAATTCCTACTTTCGGGTACTTCGAACTGGCGCTGAGGTTCCGGGAAAGCTATGCGTATTCCAATCGGCGAAAATGCCCTGTAATTCGAACGCACAAGCACTAGCGACTGATGGTTAATTCTAACATACCGCGCTCCGAAAATGCTCTCAGGACCATGCGTGATCCCGGGGCGGCACCTCTCAACGCTGTGCGCGAAGAAGGAAAAGAAGAAAAGGAAAGAAAAAACTGTGGCGGATTGTTTGCTTTCTCTCACATGCCGATCTGTGACGCGCCTGTTCCATGCTTCTTCCTTTCCCTCTCTGCACGTAGAGACCCTTGTCTTTTCAATTCAAGTCCGCGTGTGGAGAGAGAGAAAAAAAAAAGAAAGCTGTCAAGGAGAATCCTCCTTTCTCGGTGCAGAGGGTAATAGCCATGGTAGCTGCGGAGACGCAGTCGTAGCCGTCACGACAGAAAAATCGCTTTGGACCCCGGTGCCGCTTCTTCGTCTTGTGACCCGCTGAGCGCTTCCTCAATCCTCTCCACTGGCTGTGTGAGGAGGACTGCTCTCTCATCTGCGCGGGGCATAGTTGTAAGGTCTGTATGGGAGTTCTAAAAGACCCGCGCCGAACGAGCGTCAACCTCCGCAGAAAACGATATACTTAACACACTACGGTCGTGCTTTTTATAGACTATTTGATAGACTAATTTAGTTCATTATATCCATTTACCAGTCAATTTTACTTTATTACAATTATGTTTAAAAGCATGGTTCTCAATGGGGAATTTCACTTACTTTGTTATATCCATTATTTCATTATATCCCTTTACATTATAACGAGGTTTGAGGGAACTACCCTATATGACATACGCATACAACACAGCGAAGCACGAGGCGACAGGGTACTCTCCCTTTTTTCTGCTCTACGCCCGCTCCCCTCGCAGTCATCTCGAACGTTAGATGTGGAAACATCGGTTGCCAAGTCACTGTGTCGCGCTGAAGAAGCCCGTCGCGTCGCACACCCCCGAATCATCGCATCTCAATAGCGCTCCAAGACCCGGTACGACGCCCACCATCACCCCCTTTTTTACACAAAAGGGGACCTGGTGTGGTTGTGGACATGTGTTCCCAAACGTGGTTTGTGCCAAAAGTTCTTGACCCGCTACTTCGGACCATTTGTAGTTCTTGATTGTCTCAGTGACGTTACATATGTCATCGCCGGCATTACAAGCAGTGGTCAGCACTCTAGCAAGACACAGCTGACACACATCGCACGCCTCGGGCCGTATCACCGTCAACCTTCCTACTGACTCACCCAGTGGGCATTGTCTGCAAACAGACAAATGACACACCTCGATGGGCGCATGAAGAGGACAAGGTCTAAGCGGGTCTGGCTCACGAGCATCTCGCTCTCCTTTTTCTGTCTGTGAGCTGTACCTCTCCAAATCATTCTATTCTGTAAATAAATGCATTCCATCGTCACAATATTACTGTCACACCGATTCATCATTTTTTGAAGTTTAAAAGCTTGTTGTATACTGGCTGATATGCTGTAACTATAGTAAATTTTTAATTTAATATATCAGAGGTTATCATTTGCAAATTCTACCAAAAGTCAAATTCTGCTATCATTCAAACTTGCTTCCACTTTTATTTGAAACAATAATAGTGGCATTTGCACATGCCTTCTTTCAATTTTTTAAAAGGCTGTGCAGGTTGGTTGGGTCATGACAAATGTGTTAATTTTTCTGTATAACATGTGACATACACAATTCGAATTTTACTCTAACCTGAAATTTACTGTTCACACAAGCATAGAGACTTGAAAGTGGTGCTGCTTTGAGGATTTGTACCTAGCATATTTTTTTGGAATGCTAGCATTGTGTGCTAGCTTTTGCAATCTGCACTTCATTTCATTTGAGCCATGGCTCAGATGACCTGTACTGCCTTGAGATGCGTGGGTGAGTAAATTTGGGATGCAGTGACTGTGATTTAATAGATTGGAAATATGATTGAAGGAGTATTTGAGTGTGCAATTGGTGTTTGATCGTTTTTCAGATGTATCCATTCTTGCATTTCAGTATTTCTCTCAGCAGTTCTGGTTTGCTAGTGGGGTATAATGATACACTCTTGCTAGGCTTGTGCGAATATTCGAATGCTTCGAATATTCGAACGAATAGTTGAGTATTCGAATTCGTTTCGATTCGAATTTAAATTATCGAAGTATTCGCAATGAACGAATACTTGTATATTAATTCGCATGTCATTGCCTGTAAAGGTGGTTTCACTGCAACATAGCAGTGCTAAACCGTGAAAGCATTAAAAAAACGTTCACTTTGCCGCGAAGCTTCTTTTCAAATTTAAAGCTGCTCCTGCAACACTTATTGAACATGGTCAGAAAACGCTGCTGGTTGGTAGTAGAGACTACCGAGAATACGCGAGGCAAACATTATTGGGCAGCGCGCGGCCTGTAATTTACAATAAATTTTCAAAGATGAAAATTGCTTTCTTCTCTTGGAAAATGACACTACAAGCTCAAAAATCACTTGTCACAGCCATTGGCTGATTTGAGAATGATGCGCTCGTAGTTACCGGGGCTACCGCGGAAGGTCGCCACTTGTCCACGGGCATGTGCGCGATCACACTGAAAAGCCAGGTATTTGAGGGGGGAAAAAAAAAAGAGAGGTGCTCAAGGTTACGAGGTGCGTGTGACGTATTTTCTTTTGCTGTGGCGTTCCTTTCTCCATATCTTCCACCTAAGTATCTTACAGGTTATCACTCGCATCCTACCGAAACTACTAGTGAAGGTTGTTTTGACTTCCTTTGAACGAAAAAAAAAATGGCATTTGCATAAAGCCCCTATTTTAATTCAAAAGAAATATTGTGCAGGTTAGTTAGGTCATGATAAATATTCCTTTTTTTATTATATGTCATACATACCATTCGAATTCTAGTCGAAATTCTATCAAAATCACTGTTTGTTTCGAACCTAAAATTCACTATTCGCACAAGCCTAATTCTTGCCACTTTTCAAGGACTTTGAATTTTAACCATGCTCATTGCAGACTCCTTGACGACATCTCTCGTTCCTGTGGTGCCATTCCCGATGCCCCCCAAGCCCCGGGAAGGCCCAACCCTCGAAGTGCAGCAGTTCCCTACGGACATAGCGGCCGACAGTCACCCATTTTTTTCATACCTCAACCACCTGTACGTCTACCCTAAGAGTCTTAAATATGACAGCCAGAAGGCGTTTGCCAAGGTATGTCAGTGTCACTGCTTCTTTGCAACTGCTGCTTAGAATTCGAAAGCATGTGTGTTTGACTTGAATCCTTGGAGCAAATACCATTAAAGAAAAAAATTAATTAATAAAAGGAAAGAAAACAACAATGACAAAGGTGACAATGACTGAGATGACGGTCATCTCAGTATTGCTTTCCTTGTTTCTCATGTTCCATCACTCTGAGGCAGTCTTTCAACCGAACTCATAATCTCGGAGAATTCAAGAAAACTGACTAGCAGTGCTGGAGAACATGAAGGAGAAGGGAAGGAATTTGTTATTTGTTAGGTTATGCACCCTGGCATGTGGGTACGAATCCGTTACGAAACTTCAGCCCATGTAAATGACACGAAAAACTCTGCCCAATCCCATCTTTATCTCTGCTTCACGTTTGTCGGCTGAGCTTTCATCAAGGAAGTCAAGGTATAGATGATGAGAAGCACTTTGTCTTGATCATTATCTTCCGTTTCTTGTCTATCATGTCCAACTAGCCCAGTGAGTCTGAGTGTAAGCCACGCGACAGTATTACTTAGTTTTCTATGGCCTCTTAATTAGGCTTGCACTTTTGAAGTCTATTTTATTCCGCCTGTCCCGTCTGTGCCTCTTTCCTGGGGTTTTTTCTTACATTTGTATAAGTGCCACAGCCAATGCCAAGTACTAACCAAGGCCTTTATAAAACATGTCCTTTTTGCATTTTTCACTCTTATTACACTGATTGAATTAAGATAATAACAGAAATTGGTAAAATTTGAGCTTTCTTTCTTTTGGACTGACCTTTCGAAAAGCTGCTTGCCTGTCCACTATTTCCAAAGTAGGCATTCCCAGAAGATGCCCCTCAAAGTGCATATTGTGCAGGCAAGGAACATATCATGCTGTGTGGAGCTGCGAGACAGAGACGACGAAGGAACAAAGGCACTCAAGGTGAGTCATTGACTAGACCTCGCGACTTGTAAAATGTCGCGTGTTTGTTGTAAATGACGACTTCGCTGACCTTTTCTAGATGTGGGAGTGACCGTCTGGGTTTCTCATTTAGCACCAGGCCATCTTAGTTACTGAATTGTCCTTTTCCACTGAAAACTCACTGTAGCCAGGCTTTGTCATGCACATTCTCATCGGACACCTACAGTGGTGGATTAGCAGCTGGGGCACCGCATCGCAAAATGCAAAGACTCAAGTTCTGTTACCATGTGCGCCGGCTGCATTTCTGGGGAAGTGAAATCTAAAAACACGTTTATATTTAAGGGGGGGGGGCGATAATATTAATTTGTACTCCCCCACTAATCCGTGCCTCATAATTATGTCTGTGCTGCTGCAGTTTTACATTGTTTCTGGAAAAGTGTATTGGTGTAATGTCACTAGCATTTTTGTATCGGCCTTGTGCTTTTTTCGTCGCACAGATAATGTAACTAGTTTCTTCGTCACCTCGACACATATTCTGTGAATGTTTTTATATGTATCTTTTGACCGACTTTGCAATTTTCAGTGCATCTACGGCCGGCCAGGGGAGCCCCTTTTTGTTTCACAATCGTACACGGCGGTGACCCATCATTGTGTTACGCCGGACTTTTATGAGGAGGTAAGGGAGTTAATTTTCGAGATGTTGTGTCTGTTTAAAGCTTCTCAATGAAAAATAGCTGTCTACTTTTGAAAATACATTTACTTTCTTTCTTATCGCTGCAGAAAGATGTTTTGAATATGCTGTTGGGAGTCTGGAGATAACAGTCGCTGACGGATTATTCCGACTGCAGAAACTCGAACTTTTTGGGTATTTCCAACTTCCCAAAAGACCGTCAAGGTTCCCATTGCACTAATGCGTTTCTGCGGATGATTTTTCAGACAAATTCGCTTCAAAGTTCAATTTTCCGGATTAAATCGTTTGAGCTATGCCGCTCGATTTTGAAAGCTGCCATGTTAAATTTTTTGTTGGCTTCGTCGAGTTTGGTTTGCCATGGCTAGATGTGTAGCCTTCAAGATTGGAAGCGTGCACAATCTTCCAGTTTCGGAGGCCATGTCTGATCTTTCTTGGCTAGCAAAACGGCAAAACTTTACTTTTTCAGTCAGCCTTATCATCATCATTAATACGCTGGTAGGTTGTTTTTATTTTCTGGTCGTCATCGCGCACATGGTCGTGTTGGTTTTTCAAGTGTGTTCGAACCGTCGTGCACGTCAAATGCTCGCTGCTGTTTGTGATTGCTAAGTAGCACTCCGTGGTCACTGTGCTTGGCTACTGACCTGGAACAGGCGGGTTCATTCGCGATAGTAGCATTTTGACGGTGGCGGAATGTTGTAGGCTCACATACTGTGCAATGTCGTTGCAGGTAAAAGAAGCCCAGACCGTGTTGCTAAATTCCACCAAACAGGCGAGACGTAGCATGCATCTTGTTGCGATCGGCATCGAGTTTTGTTTGCTTGGTTCCACCGAGCCACGAACTTTGCCTTCCGCAAAGGTCGGCAGCAGGGATTGCCACCGCACTTGCCAACGATGTCATCATAGCCCATGTAGAACCAAATTCGCGCGTCCCCAAGAACAGCGTGAAGCATGGCTATATTGGGGATTTTTTTAGGCTTTCCTAAACCAAATAAACTTCATTTTTATGGCTTGACCATTTTTTCAGACTATTTGATTTTTCGGACTATCTTGGGGTCCCCTCCAGGTACGGGAAATCGGTCGGTGACTGTATAAGTAGAAATACTCGTCCTAGGTTGCTGTGAAAACTTCATCCTAGGAAGCTTAAGGTACTAAACGGAGTGTACGAAGGTAGTGCTTTTTTTCTACCTGCTGCGCTTTTTTTATGTTAAAATTTTTTTTCGCTGGAACCTTTTCTTCTTAGTTGAATTTTGTATTTCTATATGACAAATTGGCTTAGCATATTGTGCCTTTACATCTTGATGAGAATCTTGTATTTGTAGAATGTAGAGATGATGGTTGAAGATAATGTTTTAAATTTCATTATGCTTGTGCAAATATGCACCACCTTCAAATATTAATTAAAATGTTATACCATTCTGCGCTCACTTAAACCCATATTAGAGTATTCCAAGTTTTTGAATGCAAGTGTTAAACAGTTTACCACTGGAATTTATGGTTTTGCTAACCAAATTATCGGAGCTCGTGCGTGCAGGCTCTATCGTGAATACTGCAGAAGTGATGTTACCAAGGTCATTGCAGAAATCTATAAAATTGAACTTTTTTTTACCCTGAAAGTATATGTGCCTAATGAAACCATCCACTGTCATCTTACTATTCACATATCTAAAATGATTTATTCAGGTGAAGGTTGTGCTTCCATTGGAGCTGCACGAGCAGCACCACCTTCTCTTCACCTTTTACCACGTGAGCTGTGACATTGCCAAGGGCGCCAAACGTAAGGAAGGCCCCATCGAAAGCATTGTCGGCTACTCCTGGCTACCTCTGCTCAACAAGGGAAGGTTGGTGTGACCCGTACCGCTCTTGTGTCTGATCATTGCCCGGTGGGCAGCCACAGCTACCTTGCCGATCATGGTAATTGACTAGTCTTGGGACAGTGTGCGTGTTAATGGGCAGGTTCGAAGCTTCCTTCTGTCTGCTTATAATATACGTTCTGCTCATGTCGAGCTCATAGACCTGAACATAACAATCGGTCCGCATCGTAGAGCTCGGTGATCGCGGGGAGATCACATTTTAACGTGCTGCAAAGGCCCTAGCTTTCATCGTATACCACAATATACTGAGCTCAGCACTAAGTGGTGACACATACCGTAATTACTCGAATCTAACGCGCACCTTTTTTCCGGTTAAGCAAGTTCATAAATCGCATGCGCGTTAGAATCGAGTACGAAAAAAAAAAAAAAAAACGTTCAATCTATTGCCATCGGCAAATCCAAAATGGCCACCCCCTACGTGCGTCGGCATGGCACGTCAGCCATTTCTGCCTATGTGTTTCCCATGTGCGGCACTTCGTACGTGTGCTGAGGAGTTCGTCATCTAGTAGTGCATTAGCATCGACGGCGTGGAAGGACCGACTCCAAAAACTAGTGCACCACGATGCCGCTTTTAAAAGAAAAGCCATCGCGTGTGCGGAAACGGACGGAAATCGGGCCGCATCGCGGTCGTTCGGAGTTCCCGAAACGTGCGTGCGGGATCGGCGGAAACAAATGCAGAAGATTGTCGACAGCAAAGCTTCACGCAAAGGCTTCAGTGGACCACAGCAGGGTCAGTTTCCGCAAATTAAAGAGCTGCTCGGCGAGTTGTTGCTTGAGCGGCAGAGCGGCCCGTGACGACAGAACTGCTCCAAGTGCGGGCTATGCAATTAGTCTTAGAAAAAGGTCTAATGTGGAGCCAGTTTAAAGCGAGCAGGTGCTGGCTAACTAACTTTATGAAAAGGAAAGGCTTTTCCCTCCGAAGGGGAACATGCATATGCGAAAAGTTTTGCGGAGGAGTACGATGAAAAGCTTCACAGTTTTCAGAGGTTCGTCCTAAACTTGCGGCGCAACAACGGCTACCTGCTTGGGCAAATCGGGAATGCCGATCAGACGCCTCTTTACTTCGACATGCCTGGCACCACAACCGTCGAGAAGAAGGGGGCGAAGCAAGTTCGCGTGCTGACATTGGTCCACGGTAAAACTACAGTGACGGCAATGCTCTGTTACACGTCAGATGGGCACAAGCTTCGCCCGTACCTCATATTTAAATGGAAGACGCTCCCGAAAGGAGTCGTTTTTTCGAGTGGTGTGATCGTGCGGGCCAGCGAGAAAAATGGGTGCGCGTTGCAATCGATGTCTTACGTTTTTTTTTTTTTTTCGCGGTGGAAATTGGGTGCGCGTTACAATCGAGGGCGCGGTAGAATCGACTAAATACGGTAAGCCGCTGGCACCCGTCATCTCTGAGTGCTCATTTGAGTCGCTGCAGTATACTGCTTATCATATATTCTGGGGCATGAAGCGAGGAGCTCATTTTTTTGCACAAGCAATATTTGTGGCTATTAGGCTTGTGCTAATAGTAAATATTATTTTAGAGGTGAATTGCGAGCAAATAGTGATTTAATCGAATAATTTATAATTGAATTCGAATTGTCTATATCACATACAATATATAAAGGAAAAAGAGCATATATGTCATGACCTAACTAAACTCAATATTTTTTAAAAGTTAAAACAAGGCCTGTGCAAATGCCATTCTTCTTGCCTCAAAGGCAGTGAAAAACAACGTTGAATAGCAGCAGTATTTGACTTTTGGAGGAATGTGACCTGTAAAATACATTTCGTTTTAAAATTTGCTATACTTTGAGCATTTAGGCTGGTATAACAAGCTTCTAAAGTTAAAAAATGATGAATCACTGTGAGGTTAATATGTTCATTCAGTGTTAAAGTAGAGCTTCATGGCAATGCAGATTTTTTCTGGGTAGGTGTCTTTTTGGTGTAGCATTTGTTTACTGCAGTGAAACCACTTCTACAGGGGTTACATTCAAACTATTCATTCTTTTCAAATACTTCGAAATTTTAGCAATACAATTCAAATCAAAGCAAATTTGAATACAGCAATATTTGTTCTAATATTTTACTCGTGAGAATATTTGCACAAGCCTAGTGTCTATCTAGTAAAATCAGTCTCTCCTTTTCTTCATAACATTTATGTGTAGAAGTATCCTAGACGAAAAGAAAAGCTGTTTTCAGTCAACGTTTTTTAAATGATGTCGGTCTCCATTCTTGTTTTTCAGCAATTTACCAGTTTGCCATTGTGGCCTGTGTCATTATTGAACAGAGCTAGTTATTTTTTTTTAAAGCACGAGTGAATCTGTAAAAAATCGGAAATGCTTTGATCATTTAGGATAGGAGAACGCTTTGTTAATGAAGTTCGGTGATGGCTCCGTTCCTGGAAGCATGGTGCACACCTGCACCGCACCTGAGCCACAACGGTATTCTTAACTGGTGCTCCTTTTGCATGTGCTTTCCTCCGCAGGCTCAATATTGAGGAAGACATGCTTCCTGTGGCTGCCAATTTGCCTCCTGGGTACCTTTCATACAAGCCTTTGGGCCTTGGCAAAGGAGTGAGTGCTCGCTGAAAAACTTCCTTTTTCTTGGCTTCCATTTCTGCATCGTACTATCACACTGAAGAGTAGTTGTAGGTGCACGAGAGCAGAATAATGCAACATTAGTTGTGTGCATTATGTTTGGTTTAGTGCATTCACTGCTCGTAGTGCTACATGATTAATTAGTCATATGTTGAGAGCCACACCTTTGGTTGGGTGTATCTTATGTGAAGGCGTGCGGGTGGCCACCAATGAAACTGCTCATGCATGTTTTGTTCACAAAGGCTGATAACAAAACAACATGTGGGACCCACTATAACACACATGCTCAATAACGATGCAGGAAAACTGTATTGCTATCAGCAGTTTGCAAGTCCAGGAAAAATGGCTAAGGCTGACTCATGAAGTCTCAAAGCAAGATCTCATGAAGTCGGTAGGCCCTAATTGGTTTGAAATGTTAGGGCACCTAATAATATTCACATGTGGGACATCATATTAATTTTAGGGAAAATAACGGTAAGTTCATCGATTTATCACACAGTCCTTGGTTGCAGCACTTGACCATTTCATATGAAATGCGTATTTCTGCTCATCGTGGTTTTCCTGCATTTCAGTTTTGTGGACCGGATGTCAGGCTCGTGGAAGGTGGCCGGGAGCTCTTCAAAGTTGGGTTCAGACTCGTTTCCACTGTGCACACGAGGGTATGTCTCTTTCTATAGATTTGCAATTTGACATTGCATTGATTCTGCAGTCCGCTGCAAATGCCGCGAATGCTGCTAAGGCAGACCCACCCTTATCGGTGTGTTGTGTGATCTGTAGATAGCCATGCTATCGTCTGAACTCGAGATAGGAGAGTCTGTTGGAGGATTTGCACAGAGGTTATAGTCAACTGGGTGACTAGTCTGCTTGGAGGGAACACGAAGAAGAGAGAACGACAAGTGATGATGATAACAGACAACCACTTCTACAGTCCGGCGTACAGGTGCCCGAAAAGTGAAACAGCACGCGAGCTGTGGCCAGACTGGGCAAACCTGCATGCCAGCGCACTCTATCGGCAGATGCTCTGCAGGTAGCAAGAGCGTGGTGGCATATCTGGCTTACCGTCTCATTATTCTGATGCTCACTTTATCCTTTCTTCAGCAAAGCCACGCTGCTACCATCGCTGCTTGTTAGGAGTGAAAGCATTCGCAATCTTGGCTATGCAGAAAGTGTACGCCTCTCAAAGTTTCTTACCGATGCAAAGCATTGAAAGTGCCCCTGACGAGCAGTGATAACAGCGCAGCCTTGTTCGGAGAGTTGACGAGTCGAGCATCAGAATATCAGGTTGGGTCAGCCAGACATGCTGATGCACTCTTGCTGTCTGCAGTGCACCTGCTGATCAAGCATGCTGACATGCAGCTTTACCCAGTCCGGCCAAAGCCCACATGATCTGTTTGACTTTTGGGGCTCCTGTACTGTTAAAAAGACCATAACATTTGGTTTTCTCCATTGATTTTCGCTCAGATATAGTTTGGCAGCTTGAAGGCTGTTTTTATATGTCAGTTAAAGAGACAAAATTTCATCCATTAGTAAATTATGACTTCACGATACCAAGAACACCATTTTTAACCTCGGGAAGACTCGTTAAATGAAGAAACGCACGAAAGGAAACGGCAGGTCATAACCAAACACCGTGACGTCATAAGTTTTGATGCCAACTAATATGTCAAGTAGTCCTTAACAGGTAAATGTTAGGTACATCGTTATCTAAGGGGGACTATCAACTTAACACGTCCAGTATTCGGGAAATTTTATAGAGCCGATGTTGTGAAAATACGAAAAATAAATTTTTCAATCGCTGACAGCACGTGCTGACATTTTCAGCACAAGTTTAAAAAATAAAACTTTAACCTTCATTTTTCTCGTTTAATAATGAACTTCTGATGATGAAAATAATGATGCTATAGTCCTTAAAGCCCACTTCATAAATCCCAGCACATTCATTGTTTTCATTATGCAATCGAGCTAGTATGTTTGATGGTGATAAGGATACTTCCAGCTGTCACCACTTTCTTGGTGCTGCCTTCTTATCACAGCATTGTGTTGGCATTTTCTAGCTGCTACTGTTTTATTCCTCGAAAATTTCTCCTATTCAGGACCAGCACCTCCACAACTTCTTTGTGCATTGTCAAAAACAATTGGAGACGAAAGTTTTAGGGCCCGATACTGAGACTAGTACGCTACTCAAGGTAAGGTTCCATGTGGTCTTTATATTGTTGACTTCGTATGTGCATCGTGACATGATGTCCAGCATGTTTGTACCAGTGCATATTCCAACTATGAGGCCATCATATCGAAAGGTTACATATAAGTTATATAGTATTACACCTAATAAAATTATATGTATACTAGGTAAAATTCATATAGTTTTCTTTAAAATATTGCGAATCTGCTGTAGCACATGAGATGGCTGTGTCAGCCTAGATGTCATACATTCAGTTTTATTTTTAAAAATCTAATGCCGGTTTCTCATCTCGTACAAACAAGACCCTGAGCACCAAATTTCCTATTCGGGCATCTAGTGTTCCAAAACCTGGGTAGGAGAACTATCAAACTCGTTTCAAGGTGAGAGAGACTCTAACACGCACCGTAACTATCATATTAGTAGGCTTGTGCGAATAGAGAATTTTAGGTTCAAAGTGAATCATGGTTTTCGTCAAATTATTTGGAACCAAATTAGAATAGTATATATCATGTGTTATAAAGATAGGCATATTTGTTATGCCAAATAAATTGCACAGTATTTTTAAAACTGAAACAAAGCCTATGCAAATGCCATTCTTTTTGGTTTATAGGAAGTGGAAACAACTAAATGGTAGCAGGACTTGACTTTCGGCAGAATACTAGTGGTTACCTGAAAAAATATGCTGTTTTAAAAGTTACTATACTTAGGTTCATATAAGTCAATATAACAAGCTTTTAACCTAAAAACTAATGAATCAATGTGAGGGTAATATGTTCAATTAACCTTAAAGTGGAGCTTCACAGCAGTTAGAATATTTTTTTTTGATAAGCTGCTTTCACGGCTTAGCACCCCTCTACTGCAGTAAAACCACTTTTACAAGGCTTACATGCAAATAATATACCCCTATTTATTTAGAATAACTTTGAAATTTTCAACAATTTAATTACGAATCGAAGTGAATTTGAACACAGTAATATTTGTTTGAACATTTAAGACATTCGAATATTTGCACAAGTCTACACATTCGTTAAGGTCAAAGGGGATAATAATTGATTTGTAGTGGGGGCACTTTATTGAGCTTCGTAATATGCATCAATTATCTTAGACGCCGAGACAAAAAGTTAATTTATTTGCAAAGAAATAACGTGGCAGAAAAGTGGCCACAGAGAAAAACAGACCTGATTTTCATAAAAATTAAGGGGAAAAAATAACACTGACGTCCTACTTGTTGATGGAGTCACTGCAGATATGCTGTCGCATAATGTAAACAAAAAAAGTTACAATTCACAGTGATTAGGATTTCCTTTGTAGGGGCACATTTGTTACTTTTTAAGATTGTAGGCAGTGGATTTTTATACTCTGCAAGTGTTGTTGAATGGATAACGCAATGTTCTAGATGTATCAAAGTCGTCTAGCATGTTTTTTTCTGTGTTCACGAATGAGGAAGCATGTGTTGTTTATAGATGTGGCATTGTATGAACTTTACTGCATGTCAGCTGTTTTAGTCTCACTGTAGGGAGTTGTCGTGCCTTGATGCTGTGTAGTATAATTTGTGCGTTGCTTGGATCTTCAAAGCATTTATTTGTCTGGTTTACAGTCAATATGACTTGTCATGTTTTTTTTTTTTATATTCACAAGTGTTTGTAAACTTTGGGATATAAACCCTAGGTAACGTTTTTTCTTTCATTATATCTTCCATATCCCATTGTGTAAATGAAACTATGCACGTGCACTTATTTTTCTGAAATTTCACTGATGCTCTTGCAGTAGTATTCCCAGCTGGATTTTAATAAGGGTCCAATAACTTGTAAAATAAAAATATATTTTTGGTTGCTCGTGAGAGAAATTATGGAAAGAGCTTAGAAAAAAGGGGTTACAAGAAAGTGGAGAGATGTGTGCGATATTTTTACTGTGCAAATTTCCACTTGGCATCCTAGAGGAATGTTTGTGGAGCAATTTGTTACATTGAATATTAATCATAATGACTGCGCAGGGAAAACGGTCACTTTTTAAAAAAGTATTTGACTCAGCTTCTCAGTCGCACATAATTTCAAATTCGGGGCCTGCTTAATGCCAGCAGTTCTCACATTGCCATTTGTACAGTCAGTCTCCAGAATGAAATCATAAAGCGGCCTGGCACTCTGACTAAAGTCGATTTGTTGACATCGCAAGTTTTTTTTCCTTTTTCATCTTGCAGCGCTGTGCAGCTGTTAACGATATCGATATACTTACCTGTCATCTATGCGGGCTGTAAAATTATCATGAGCTTTATTAGGTGGCAACATGCAAAAGCACTACATAATACACAGAAATAGCGTTTGGAGCCTCTACTTTCATACTTTTGCATTTAGTAGCATTGCAACATAGTATAGTTAGCAGTGATGCAATTGCAAACATTTGTAGTGCACGGCCTTTGCAAATGAGCAAGTATATATGGTGCAAAACATGACCCAAGGGAATGACTGAGCACATATTCTCTGTAAATACCTGCCCTGATTATCTTTAAATGAATAAGTGAGTTGGGCATCGTCGCACAACATTGGTAATTTTAGGTTGGAATGTTAATTTGTGTCTGTTTGTTGCCAAGGGTAATGTGCTTTTGTGACCCGATGTGCTTTTGAATAGTGACTTCTAACTAATTGGCTTTTTGGGCGTAAGTATTGTGCGTTCCTGCATGGCTTCTAACCCGCAACCTGCCTTCTCTCGGTGTGACCACTGATTTAACCCTGGTTGGTGGCTTCTTGGCACGTAGCATGACTGGGCGACATGGTGAAGCATGTGCAGCACCTTGCGTAGATATTGTACACTGTCATATTACAGTTTTAGAGTCAAAAGAGATAGCGACTTTTAGTTCCCCTGATGGGTCTTTGAATTGTATTGTTCATTCTGCCTGCCTTGAGCAAGTTTATTGTCTGGTTATCATTATTTTTATGACAAGAGTGTCACAAAGAAACATGCATTTAAGGGAAAATGTGCCGGCAACACAGTGCCTGTTAAACGTGTTTTACGTCACTCCTTGGCTTAATAGCCAAAGGCTGCAAGTTCCGTAGCTTAAAGCAGCAGCAATTTAAACTTTAAGTAGAATCACTTGCTTTCGCAATGCTTAAGGCTTCCAAGATGTAATTTTGTTTATTCAAAATCTTAGGCAGTGTTTCAGAAGCATTTGCAGCTGATAGTATGTAATATTGAGATACATTTAGCGCAGACCATTGCACATCTTTCCAAAGGTGTTCTTATGAATTGGTCGCATTGTGCACAAATAAAATTTTTTTTACTGTCTGATTAAGGCCTTCCATTTTTATGATAGTGTAAATACAATGAACATACATCTCACGAATTCATCTTTGTGGGAAATTTCATGTGAGAACTTAGTGCATAGTTTATATGACAGAAACTATTAGTAAGATAAGTATAAGCACCATCTACTATCATAATTGCATTCTTATCACCTATCAAAAGTGCGTGTCAATTGATTACTACCTTACCATCTTCACACTGTTCATCACAAAAGTAGTCTCATAAGACATTTTAGGATTTATATTTCATGTAGCTTATGTAGTGACAGGTTGGTTGAAAAATAACTGCTTTCTATTTCGGAGTGTCCACATGTAGGCTTGTGTATGTGTAGCAATAAATGTTATATGGCTCAGCTTGTCACATGACAGTAATTAGTGACAAACATTCTGTAGCTACAAATGTCGGACACATTTCTTCTATCTAATAAGTGCACAATTTACTGTCAGCTAGCAAGATCATTGATAGAACTGGTGGAACTTCTAATGTTATCAAAAGTAGTAAGATCACTGATAAAACTGGAGAGGCTTCTCTGTGCTTGTAATGTGACAGACACAGCCTTTTTAATTATCCTCATACACATTGGTGATTGAATATTATAACTCGTTTGGTGTTTAACATGGCTAATATTGCTTTCCTTATAATTTTTCTTTCTCTGCTGTTACACACCAGACATGTAATTAACTCTCCTAATGTCATCATCCCAATGTTTAGGTGGCTTTGGTGTGTTCAGTGTATTTTAATTTTTAACACTGTGGCAGCCTTCCTTGATCCTTAGCTCACTAAGCAAAGTCAGCAGTAGTGATCAAGTGCATTAACAAATATAAAAAGCTCTTCTGGGACAGACTACCTGGAAGCATAACAAATATATGTGTAAGGCTTCTGATTTCTTGCTTGTAACAGCACACGAAGCGGCATTTTTTTTGTTGTGGTTTGTTATCACCTAGTACATCTTGGTCTGTACTAAATGTATTGTTAGAAGAGTTAACTATTCATTCTATTTTACTTATTCATGTTGAACACTGATATTTGGAACGGTGAGGCTCGTTTTAGTCTTATGACACGCTTGATGCATCATTTCGAAGTGCGAGACAATAGCACTGCTTTGCTGCTGCTTATAGGCAGTCTGATGAAGCATGGCTGTGACCCCTAAAAACCATTTGTTCTTGCGAGTACCTTGAATATGCACACTATCATACTTCATTGTGTGGTCCTTGTGGAGCTTGCATTTGGTACGCTAGAACGATGAATTGATAGGGCTTATAGCCGCCACAGTGGTCTCGTGGCCAAGGTACTCACTCGGCTGCTGACTCGCAAGTCACGGGATGAAATCCTGGCTGCGGCAGCCACATTTTCGATGGAGGCAAAAATTCTTGAGGCCCATGTGCTCAGATTTAAGTGCACGTTAAAGAACTCCCAAGTGGTCGAAATTTCCGAAGCCCTCCTCTAAGGCGACTCTCATTATCATATTGTTGTTTTGGGACATCAAACGTCAATAATAATTATTATTATTATTATTATTATTATTATTATTATTATTATTATTATTATTATTATTATTGATAGGGCCTTACGTTACCAAGGTGCTTTAGACGTTACAGAAACAAAATTAAACAAACGGCAGTGGCATAGTTCTAAAAATAATGTTTTTTTAGAAAACCTGAACTCTCATTGGTGTTTGTTTGTAATCAAATCAGCCATTTTGCCAGATTTGCAGTTTTGAAGATAGTTAATTTGACCTGTTATTGCGATTCATTTAGGCATTTATAACTGTTGCCAATGTAATATTTATTATTTAGCATGGGCTTGAAGCTTGCTCCAAGGGACACAGGCATTAGGAAATTATTTTCTTGTCTCATTTCCAAATTATAGGATATTGGAGATTCTGCAAGCATTCTTTTATGTGAAGCAAGGTGTTCTTGGGTACGTGGCATCACGCCATGGCAACAGCTTGCTCTGAAAAAATTTTTCTATGATATCTCTGTGGTTACACTTCTTAAGCAGTTTTGTAGGTGGCTTTAATGAGTTCTAGAAACTGCTTCTTTATTCTGGCACACATTTTTTTTTTTTGCTATTGTGATTGCTGCAACAGGTGACAGATGAGAGAAGTTGTACCTCAAAGCACTACATGTTTATGCTGTAATGCCACAAAGAAAAGTTTTCTTGCAGAATTTCAGATGTATCTTATTGTTCAATAACACATTTATGAAGTTCCCTCATATTTACACATTATGTACTTGTCATGGTTTCGTGCTGAATGGGATTGTTCTGACCAACGCTACACATGAGTACAACTAGCATATTTAAGTGCGTGTAATGATTATTCTAAGCATGATATAAAATTTTTCATTCTCTGTTTAAGCGTGAGCTGCGTGCAAACTTAGCTTGCAGATGCAGCTTCATGGCAATCCAACATCGGATTCACAGTTTTATATTTATGTACATCTGTGAACCAAAATTTTAAGACAAAATTTACTTTTTTGTGAAAGCAAACATTTTCTGGACAGGACAAGTTAGAATGGCAAGGCGCTGCACATTCGTGAAGCTTTGTGTTTTGCTAATTGCACCACATTTCTCGTGCACTAAAGATAAGATTTTCATTGCATGCAGTATGTATGGTAGTTGCGCGCGTCAGTCTCTCTGTAAAAGTAGTATATTCAGTTAGTGCACATTTGCAAGTAGGTTTGGGTTACGTGTGCGAGAATACTGTGTTTCCTCACGACATTGGGGCACGCAGTCACCAAGCCAGTGGCGGTGTGCATGTGGTCCATATGTATGTAACTCCAGAGATGGCAGGTTGCGCATGTGGTCATGCAGGAACAGGCACTCCCTTCAATGGGCACTGAAGCTGAGCGGGAAATCTCAAAGGTTGTCAAGGTTGGTAAACACACTTCCCATAAATGTTTGTGCTTCATGCCTGCAGTTCCATATAGAAAGTTGGGCCCTTCGGATCCAAAGACGTAGCAGTAAACTTCTCACGAAGGGCTGCCTTTGCCACCCTTGGCGTAGATGCTGTTTGCTTTCCAAACGGGCCTTAAGATAATTGTTTATTACTTAGGCTAGAAGCACACAGCGTCGCTTCATAATGCAGCATTTCATTACCAATTTCTCTTGAAAATAGTATGTTGGCAGCATTCGAAACATCAGCTAGGGCTGTTGGTGTGCATTATTAAGTAAAAACTAGCGAGAAATCATTCTCATATGGCGAACATCAGTACAGTCAGCGCGATTCAACAGAGTGTTTTAATGCTTCGTGAATCGGGCCTAAAGCAGCAGTTTTATAAAAGAGGCAAAAAGGCGAGAGAGGGTCTTTGTACTGCACCGAAGTGTGCGACTGTAGAAAACTAGCAATGAGTTGCAAAGAGATGAATTGCTAACTAGGAACCTCAGTGACTGTAAAGTATCAGCTAAAAATCCAGCAAGCTCATCAAAATATGGCAGTGTCTGTGTCATTTTGATACTACTCTGTCGGAAGAAATATGAGTGAAATTTCAGGGATGAACTTTGGAAAGTCTATCTAGTGGCTGTGCCTAAATGCCAGGTCTGTGACGATTTTGGCTTATTTACTACTCTGGTACCTGTTGGCTTGTCAAGGTAGTTATGAGTATTTTTAACTAGTTGAAATTTTATTCAGTACAACATAATTGTCATTCAACTGGTGGTAGAATGAAGCAATATGAAGAAAATGCACATGAATATCTTGCAGGAAGACCAGACACAGTTCACGAATGACTTTTCAGTGTCAACATCAAGCAATTGATGACCACCCCCCCCTTCTCTTCAAGAAGGGAAAGGCTTTAAACTTTCTGAGGACCTCTTACTGGCTGTTAATAATTACGTCGATCATGCCTGTAGGAGATGCATCAGCTTTTACATGCTGCATCTCCACCCTTTTTCGATGAAGGCGTAAATGCTTGAGGCCCGTGTGCTTAGATTCGGGTGCACGTTAAAGAAACCCCAGGAGGTCGAAATTTCAGAAGCCCTCCGCTACAGCCTCTCTCATAATCATATGGTGGTTTTGTAATGTTAAACACTAATAGTTATTATTATTATTATAGCCTCTACAACCTCCTTTTCTTCTCACGAATTATGTGTGTGTATTTAGCGACAAATAACTATTCTCGTCGACTTGCTGATTTCAACTTTCTGGTGGAACTGTATTACTTTTGGAGCAAAACGTACCTGGCATTGCACGGAGTGTTGGAAAGAAAAACTTGTGGGTGGAGGTTGCAGTGTTGTCTTTAAGACCGATATATTTGTAAATAACCATGGCATTCTAACATTCAACTTGTAAAATGTGTAGTTTTGTTGTTGTTGTTGTTATGCATTTATTGCATGGGTTCTTATCTTGGGGCTTTTGTAAATTGTCAGAAGATATGTTTAAGATGTAGGGAACTATGCGAACGATGACGAAGGAATACACAGGAGGAAGGTAATACACAGGAGGAAATAGGGTGTCTGGAAAGACTCTGAGAGGTCCACGCGGGGGATGTTGACTGTAATAATACATACACTATAAAGTTTTTAGGTTATCATTGGACATTTTTTTTATTCAATATAACTTTCTTGCCGTTTCTATGGGAACATGTTTGATTTTAAATATCAAATTCTTTACTATAGCTTAGTGTTGTACATATTGTCACAATGCAGAAACAGCAGCAGTTGTATACAGGACAACTCGCTTTAATTGTACCAGAACACTGGCAAACTGATTGGATGAGAACCTCGTCTTTCTCTCTCGCTGCGCGTGCTCTTCGTTGTTCTCTTGGTGCTGCATATTCAATGCGGCAAGGCCACGCCGTGGTGGTCTAGTGGCTAAGGCACTCGGCTGCTGACCCGCAGTTCGCAGGTTCAAATCCCGGCTGCGGCAGCTGCACTTCCGATGGAGGTGGAAATGTTGTAGGCCCGTGTGCTCAGATTTGGGTGCACAATCAAGAACCCCAGGTGGTCGAAATTTTCGGAGCCCTTCACTACGGCGTCTCTCATAATCATATGGTGGTTTTGAGACGTTAAACCCCACATATCAATCAATCAATCAATGCGGCATTTGCCCCCCTCCGGAGAGCAGCATCCCGATGCTCTTCTACAAAAGACGGTGCAGTAGATGTATGGTGCAAATCAGTCCGAAAAATAGGGCTTCATTCGCACAACATGCACGATTTCTGGTTTCTGGTGGCGAGTTGTGGAGGGGCTGTCAGGAAAAACCACGTAATTAACGTCACTCAGGCATTGTAAAACTGTGTAGGGGCCAAAATACCTCTTCAGCAATTTTTCAAACAGTCCCCAGCGGCGGATAGGACTTCATACCGAGACTTTTTCACCAGGCCGACAGACGACATGTCAACGTCGCAGGTTATAATGTTGGGCGTCATAATTTTGCTGCTGGGTGATTCGGATGCTTGCAAGCTGCCTCGCTTCTCCTGCTTGTTCGATAAAAGATGCAGCGTCCAAATCGATGTCATTGCAGTTGTGCAGCAACATGGCTTCAAGCATCGTCGTCACTTCACGGCCATGAAGGAGACTGAACGGCGTCTTTCATGTAGTTTCTTGCTGCGCTGTATTATAGGTGAACGTGATGCACGGTAGAATGTCGTCCCAGTTCTTGTGATCTACGTCAACGTACATACTCAACATGTCAGCAATAGTCTTGTTGAGGCGTTCTGTTAAGCCGTTAATTTGTGGATGATAAGAAGTGGTTTTCGGATGGGCTGTTCCACTGAGCTCAAGCACTGTCTTCAGGAGCGCGGCCGTGAAAGCGGTACCTTGATCCGTTATTATTGTTGTGGGAGCACCGTGCCTCGGAATGATATTTTCTACGAAGAATCGTGCGGTTTCAACGGCCGTGCCACTTGACAAAGCCTTTGTTTCCGCGTAGCGCGTAAGATAATCAGTGGCGACTATTACCCACTTGTTGTCAGCATGGGAAGTCGGATATGGTCCGAGGAGATTCATTCCGATTTGGGCAAAAGGTACCGTGGGCACTTGAATTGGTTGTAATAGTCCATCCAGCTGGTTTTAACAGTGGCGGTTTTCGTCGTTGGCAATCGAGGCATGTGCACACGTAATGTTTCACAATAGCTGGAAGTCTTGGCCAGTAGTATATCTGTTGGATTCTGGCCAATGTGCATGCGTATCCGAGATGACCGGACGTTGGCTCATTGTGGCAAGCACGAAGTATCTCCTCACGTATTGACAAGGGTGCTTCCTCTGAGAGAAAAGTTCTTATAGAGAACACCACTACGTAAGCAGAATGACGGCAGGCTTCTTGCAAATCTTCTAGGGACGGTTGTTGTCCGGCCATTCAAAAAATTCAATAAGGGGAAACAACTCGCTGTCTTCCTTCTGCTTGCACGAAATCGTAGTGATGTAGACGACTCCTACAAACGCCATGTTGTCATCTTCTGTGTCATTGTCGCGCTTTATCAGTGACCTTGATAAGCAATCGGCGTCGGTGTGCTGCCGTCCGGACTTGTACATGACCGTTATATCAAACTCTTGAAGGTGTAAGCTCCACCGTGCGGGCCGACCAGACGGGTCTTTCAAGTTGGTCAATCAGCAGAGAGAATGATGGTCACTGACTACGTGGAAGGAACGACCGTAGAGGTACGGACGAAACTTCATTACCGCCCATACGACAGCAAGACACTCATTTTCCGTTGTGGAGTAGTTCGACTCGGCGTGGGAAAGCATCCTACTAACATATGCGATAACGCGCTCGGCTGAGTCTTGCCACTGGACGAGTACAGCGCCTAAACCCACGTTGCTGGCATCTGTGTGGACCATGGTAGGAGCATCCTCATCAAAGTGAGCAAGCATAGGTGGTGTCTGCAGGCATTGTCGAAGATCATCAAGTGCCGCTTGTTGATGGTCGCCCCATCTGAACGAAACATCTTCTCTTGTGAGTCGTGTTAACGGCAAAGCTATGTGTGCGAGATTGGCAATAAACCTTCGGTAGTATGCGCATAGGCCAAGGAAATGCCTGACTGCTTTCTTATCTGTTGGCACCAGAAATTTTCTGAAGGCTGCAATCTTATCAGGATCAGGTTGAACACCTTCATGGCTCACCACATGGCCTAAATATTGGAGCTCCTTGAAACTGAAATGACACATCTCGGGTTTCAGTGTCAGGCCGGCAGACCTTATTGCCCTGAATGCCGATAACAGCCTGCTCAGGTGTTCCTCAAATGTTTTTGAAAAAACAATGACATCGTCCAAATAGACCAGACATGTCTGCCACTTAAGGCCTGACAGAACGGTATCCATTAGTCTCTGAAATGTTGCGGGGGCTGAGCACAATACTGTCGCGGGTTATAAATGACAGGGGGGTTTATTTAAAAACACGGACAGTAGGACTTGTAGAGACGCTCTCAGAGAAGGCCGCTAAGATTGTCCTCTTCTTCACTCTGCTGCGCTGCGCCTCTCGAGCGAATCCGCGTTCTTCGTTGTCGTCGCTATCTCGCCGCTAAATGCAGCTATGCACGCAGCATTACCCTCCCGCCAGAGTGAGCGTCGTCCCGACGCTCAACAGGTAGAGATGCGGCCATCGAGTGTTTATATCACTGAGAGTGGTAAAGTTTCATGCGGACCACGTGCACTGTCTCAGGCAGACGCTGGCGACGTTTTGAACAGGAGGAGGCGTCGGGCACGACTTCGTACGTCACGTCGCTAAGACGACGCAGAACCTTGTAAGGTTCTGCGTCGCATCCTGCTGAGCCTAATAATCCTGCTGAGCCTGGGCTCAGCAGGATTCTGTCAGGCGACCCTATATGCGGAAGACCGACATATGGCGCACTGCGGATCGTCGACCACTCTGCTACAACTGTGGAGAGCCAGGGCACATTTGCCGTTTTTGCCCACATCGCCGAGCTGAATACCGC